CGCGATGGCAGCCCGACAACTGTCGTATGTACAAACATAAGCGCATCACGCCGTTTCCTTGACCCCAGTGACGTCACACCAATCCGCCCTTGCCATCGCCGCGCCACGCTGGGTGTCTTCAAAAAGGGAATCTTTCATGGCCGGAAAACACAAAAATAAAACAAATCATGGGGAAAAGGTAAAATCAAAAAGTCAGACCGGTCACCAACAAGCCACATCGGAGAAATAACTTAGCCTCGTCGCACATTCCAGCCCATTATCCATATTTTTATCAAGACGTAGTACTCTGTACATGCAGGCTCTGCATCATGTACGCACCAAAGCATCATATACTAATTGGCCCTCCCGCATGTATGTGTATGTGTGTGTGGGCTTACCCATCACAAACTAGCACTTCTGTCATGCAAGCCATTTCACGCCTATATCCAAATGTACTATATCCAGCCGGCGGTGTTTACTTGCGACAACTGCACGTATTACAATACCAGTTTGGTTTTGTGCAGAAATAAAAGGTAAGCGGAGGGTTTGTTTGCAAATGTTTGCCTTTGCGGAAATGTAAGGCTGAGAAGGACGCAGCCCACGTGTACGGAGTAAAGAGAGCCCTTGTTTACTCCCCCGCCCTGCGACTGGGATGATCATTTGAGACATGGAGATGTTGAGATCAACGTTTTCCTGTTGTTGGATTGAGCAGGTTGGCAATATTTCGTTTCTTCGGCTTCGTTACTCGAGTTCCACTGTGCGAGTTGTATCGAGTAGGGAGCACGGAGTACAAGGCGACTGAAGCGAGGCGCAACAATATATTTAGAAGCTTGTGCCCATTGCTGGTCGTAGCGGGATAAGCTGAGAACAGAACAGGGGGGTGAGACATGCCGTTGGGGCGGAGGAGAGGCTTGTGGGTGGTGATGCATCACACTCAAGGGGGCTGTTGCTGACATGAGCTGTGCTTGGCTTAATTTTGCAGCTTGCGCATATCACTTGATTGGTTTGAATGCGCTGGAGGGGTTGTGGAATCCGTACTCGGTGTTCGATACTGTCCGTGGTTGTATGATGATATCGCGTTAGGTCGAGAGACTGACGGAGATTGCAACTTTGAATTACGGTCCGTCTCCGCCGGATCTACGGAGTAGTATGGCCATGGCCGGTAGGTTCGTCGCTTTGGCAACGACGGCAATTACTTGCCGCTGGATGATGATAGAGGACCTTCGGGAGAGAAATCCTGAGGAACAGGAGTCTCGGAGGGCTGTGCTAGGGACTCTACATCCTACTTTGTGGAATACCAGCCTTGACGTAGCGACCCCGAGATGTTTGTCGACACTTCATGTATGTTCAACTGGGTGAGAAGCTGGGTTCACTGTTCGTGCTGTAAGTCACGGTGGCCTCACGAGGTTCGAGCTGCTGCCCTGAGAATTCTACCAGGGCCACAGAGAGATCTCCCTAAAGGGGGGACTTGTACAATACGCCGCAGTCTCGGAATATGTAGAGACGCTTGTTTCTCACGACTGAACGAGTAATTACGACATATTATGTTGTATGCATCACGGCAACCCGTACCTGCGAACTGCGAGGCTCACCGGTACCAGGCGCGTAGCTATTATTTAAAGATGAGTCATAAATATCTAAGCCTTGCCTCGATCAATATAAACCTTTGGTAATGGTTTCTTCTCTTTTTGGAGGGTTCACTTCGAGGATGAGCAGGTGTGAATAATAGACGGCAGAATGTGCAAAGGGAGAAAGGCTCTTAGTGAGCGACGAGATTCACCAACTGTTCGAGTTGTATGCTTTTAATAGCATGTATACTCCCACAAAACATACTAAAGTTCCTGCCTACAATACAAATAATCCAAGCAGCACAGTCACAGATCTAGAAGTTGATCATGGCAACGAGCCACGCAAGTATGGAAGTGAGAGTGGCGTGTCTCCAGCGCGTAATATGTGCTTGGTCAAAAGAGGACGACTCATGGTGTAATCTGGTACTAGTAAGAAGCCCAGAATGAACATCATACTCGATGACGTGTCTAAAAGGCAGACGGTTCACATGACTGCTGCCCATATGCCGAGGAGACGACCAAACTAGCGGCGCGGGTGAGAGCTATCCGCTTCTCCTTGTCGATGTATTTGAATACTCACTATTTTACGAGTATGTTTGGCAACTTTTCAATTATTGTTTTGACAGCCCAGGGCAAAAACTCTCATGTACGTTGCCTAGACGTTCGACTAAGAGGCCCCAAAACAAGCATTCTTGTAACCCATCTCGTCGTCAGATTCGACAACAGCAGCAGATTGAAGTTTCCGAGGTTCTCATAGATCGTCTTCCAAGAAACTCTAAACGACGCAATCAAAGTCAGAATTCTGCCGTCGCGCGCTCCTCCGCCGCTACCGAGACTTTGTCATGGGCGCCATTGCAGTGCAAGCTCCGAGGGCAATCATGAGACGGTAGTCACGGGTGTGAGTAATATGATTCCGACAAAAAACAGCCTCATTGACAGCTTTGCAAACATGTACTGGGCTGGGCCCGAGCAACGTCTGTCATTGACAGATGTGTCTAGCATTCCAACAAAGCTCTCCGGCTGTGTGCAAGACCGGCCCTGCATTATCCAGGCTGGCGACGAAATGCCGCTGTGCCGGCGCAGTCTGATCCCCGGGGATAACACTTCCGTTTGAAAATACAAAGAAACAAAAACGTCCAGTTGGCGATTTCGCGTCATCGACATGGCCCATCGAGGAGAAGTTGAAATGTACTTTCCTTAATACACGGCAGCTGTCACAACCGACAACCTACTCCAGTGGCAACAGCACCGTTCCGACAGTCGTTCCGCTTCTTCGACGGATTCAGTCTGGTACTGTTTCTACCGAATATGGAAAATAAATCATCGAGATACTTTGGCATTTGACAACCCCCCCACAGCTATATACGTGGGATGGCAGAGCTAGGCCACGGTCCAGTTGTGGTATAAGAGGTTGCTGTCCCTTGCGAGGCATGCCGTCCGCAAACCACAATGCGCAACTTACACTGGCCAATGGAGTACAGATAGTATTCCTAGATGCGTCGGGTGGTGAGTACTGCACACGGTCCGAAAACAGATCCGGCCATACAAATAGTTCAGCTTGAGGCTCCAAAAGTCTGTCACACATCATATGATACTTGGCCTCATTGATCCTAGCCGTATCGTTCTCTATAAAAATGTGAGTGAGATTGCACCATTACCATTCATTTGAGTGTGCGTAGAAAAGATCCTTTGGCATTGGTGAGAAACTAGCGAGTTGGATCGCGTTCAACGCCTCGCATGGCACTGCCTTGCCACGAGACGACGGTGCTGATAATCAATCCTTGGACTCATCTGTTTCAATGCAGTTACGCCTGCATGAATGGCAGTGCTTGCATCGCAAGCCGACTTTGCGAGTTGTCCAGTCTTCTGTATTCCGCACGCTGCCCATCAAGAGGCTTCAAACAAAACTTCCAAGTTAATTATTCGAGGACATCTGTGGATCCAACCAATCAAGGCACGTGTCATGCAAGGAACTAGAGTATGAGAAAGGTACTGATGTATAATTCAAATAGGGTATCTCTGCGAAGCAGGCTATATAAAATGTCCGTCATGCGCAGACCTATCTGCCAAGTTCATGCTAAAGAAACAAAAGTGGCAGTCATCTTGATGACGAACAAGCCACATCAAATGGTATCCTAATACTGAGTGCTAATGCTTGTGAAGCCCTAATTTCCTCGTGTCTATCTAGATGCTGTCGCAATGCGACTTTTCTGTAATCCCGAATGTTCCCGCTCCGAAATGAAATGCAAGCTATGACTTCGTAGTTCAACAAAAATGCGCGCCGATGAGAGCGCTCGCTGTCAAGGAAAAAAAAAAACGCTTAAGGAGATAATATCAACACCCCGCGTTGAAGGGGCGAGTTGACATGTGAAAAAAAAAAAAAAAAACGAAAGAAGGAGGTCCGGAAAAGTAGAAGGTAATTAGATAGCCGACGCCTGGATGGTTGTGAACCTGAGACGGTGGTGTCGGTGCGAAGAGGAACCGTGTCCTACGGGAGTGGTTGCAGGCACGTGAAACCCAGCACAGCTGGGCAATGAACAAGAGAAGAAGTTAACGTCCCTGAATGTGAATGTGAAAAGTAAAAGTGTGTGCATGTGCAACTCCGAGCGGGGGCCGGTCATCTTCGGCGTTGGGCCATCTGGCCGAGGGTACTTGGGTACTTGGGCAGCAGGGTCCCGTGTAAACTGGCAGCCGTCTGCCAACTGCCACAGTGCTGGCAGCGCCGCAAGTACTTCGGCCACCACGGAAATCCCAACTTCCGAGGCGTGCTGCGGATCCGCCTCGGTACTGGCTGGACTTTGTTTCGCTTTGGCCCAGTGGCTTTTCCGATTAGACCCGTTGCAGGCTGGATTCCAAGCAATGGCACACCAAACTCGACGGCCAGCTGTTTGGTCGTGTTTGCCTGGTGACACCAGCAAGTTGCCTTGCTGTGGTTGGCTGAGTTCCCTGCCTATCACAGGAGCATCGCGCGTCACCCGCCGGAGAATCGTGTTTGCACCGCTCTCGGGTGGCATTCCCCGGCTTTTTCCATAAGGATGCACCAGCCAATGAGGGCATCATCACTGGCAGGCGGCACGGCTTCGTGATTTCCTGTGGCTGCGTCGATGACCAAACAGGCGCTGAGTGGGTGAGCGGATCGCAGGTGTGCAACGGAGCCTCGTGTAAGCTGATTTCGTATTGATGTGCTCAGATGCTGTTTTCAAACTCGCTCTGGAACGTGTTACCCAGATGGCTGGTGCTTTGTCGGTCGATTTGCACGTGGTGTGGGGTATTATTAGATCTTGGGGTGTTTGGGGGTATGATGTGAGAAAAGTGTGTGGGGGGTTCGAGGAAAATGCCTGAGAGACCTTGGTGTAAGTCAGATGCAACTTTCCCTGCCGGGCGGGCCAAGGACTCGCATAGACTTACGGTGCAAAATCATGCCTCGGAAGGTCATACGGATAACGGTAGCAGTCATTCGTTGGACTCGGTGATGGTCGTCAGCGATGCATATTTGACCTTGGGGCTCTTCTTGGGAGTGCTTCTTCGAGCCCGTAGTGCGGCTTGGCGGCGGCGCTCCTTCTCCATTTTGATTTGCCGGAGAAACTCCTTCTGTCTGGCAACTCGCTCACACTCTAGTCGAAGAAATTCTGCGTCAGAAATGCGAGGCGGGGAGTTGATTGCTACCGTAGCAGGTGATGATGAGCTGCTTGAGCTAGAGATGCTACCGACTTCGTCGTCAAAGGGATCAGAGAGAAAGAGGTCGTCGTCTGAGAGATATGAGGTCGCGCGTGGCTCTTCGTGCTCGGATTCTGATAGTGATGAGCGTCGCGGCCATGATGGGAAAGCACACGTTGAGTCCTGATTCCGAATGTTGTTGAAAGGAATATCCATAGGCGCTGACATAGCGCTCATCGAACTGTATGACCCGTACGAGCCATACATTGTGAGTGTTGTAGTATGTGGAGAGGAGTTGAGAGTAGTTGATAGCGGTTGTGCCCAGTACAGGATGCAAAACCGAGTCGGTAATTTACCAATAGATACTTTTGCGTGGACGTGATGTTGTCGTGGTACGGCAGATGGTAAGTGTTGACGGAGAAACGTCCAAGGAGTAGGAAGGCAGAGATAATATAAGATAAAAATGCCGAGTATTGACTCGGCTTGTGGCTATTAATTCAGGTCCCTCGGTTGATGGGTCCGTCGGGAGCCGGAACCGTGCCCCCAAGGTTGTTGGTGGGATCAAACGTTGGTCGGCGGCGAGGGGCACTTGGGGTAGGACCGGTAAGACTCGCCAGGCCTACAAGTGCCAAACTCTGTTTCTGAGCAGGGCACCGGACAATGGTAAGCTTGTGACTGACACCTGATTGCCACACTGATTATGATGGCATGGGTGATGGCGATGGCTGCTGTATGAACAACGCTTCAAAGGCAAAATCGAGTGTTGAAGGGCGAAGTTGGCGATGCCAAGTTATGCATTCGAGGCCAGACGACAAAGGTTATGAATCGTGAGTTGGTTAAGTCGGTGACGTGCAAGCAGCGGACAAGGCAGGCAACCATCCAGAAGATATTATATACCAGCATCACGGCACATGTGTGAATGAATCATCTAAGCGTAAGGTCTCGAGATGGGGTGGGGGCGTGCAAAGGGGGAGGGGGGGGTGAACAAGAGGAGCATTGAAGCGACCAGTCTCCGAAAGGAGCATGAAGGAACGAAGCGGAATGAGCATTCAACCGCAGCGGCAAGACGGGTAGCAAGGAAGGAGGGGGCGTGTACGAGCCGCACCTGCAACTTCATAGTAGTATTATTCGAGGAACAACTGGATGCAAGCAAGCGGTCGGTCCTCATTGTCGCCCAATTCTAATGAATACAACGCCGGGGCCCCCATCGTGCGGGATTTGACTTTCGGCTCCCCAAAAGCGGCCACACATACTGACAACACTTGAGCTCGAGCGCGCCCAAAACGCCAGAAACACGGCCCGCCAGCTAGTCAGGTATTGTGGAAGACGGGGGAATGGCGGTGTTGCGCACCTCTGACCGCCTCGATGTCCAGCTCACACCCAACATTGAAAGCACGCCCAAAAAGCCCCTCGTCCAATACAATACCACCGCCTCCCTCCCAACCTTGGTCGACGCAGCGATTGTGGCCACCCCCCCATGGCGGGCCAGATTGGAGTAACAATCCCACCGCTCGCCGCGACAATACAGGGAATCCGTTTGTTTGCTACCTGTTTGCTCGTTTAGAGCAAGCCTAGCCGGTATTCTCTGCTTCGCGGGTTTGCCGACAGTCTACTCCGTACGGCTAGATGGATGTACGGTGTGCTTACACCATCGCTCCTTATCATAGCTGTGGTGGTGGTCGGGAAACAAACAGCACCAGCATCCTGTTTACTCAGGATCAAACATACAATGCCCCGTACTCTACATTCGATTCAGTAATGTTGTTTGTCTGAGCATCGTATGTATGCGCCTAACCTGCCAACATGCCTTGCATTTTGCCAAACCAGCCCGGTGTGGAGACCTTGGCATATCGCCCGCCTGCGAACTGACAGGTAGGTACTCCGTAGGTAGCAGATGTGAGCGATTTGAGCGACATGGCTCTTGGTGCGGGCATCGAGCCAGCTGGCTGGGTACACACAGTTTGATAACAACTACCTAGGTAGCTTTGGGCTGCGATGGTGGCTGCTGTATTATCTCAGTCATGGCTTTCTGCTCACATTTCCGATACCAACAAACGACATCTGGAGCTGCCCTCACCCGCGGCACACCGCCCCTATATTCCGAGTCCGCGCCAAGCCAGGGTTATCACAGACACGGGATGTCGGTAACAAGGTCCGTCTTAGCTCCAACATTCAGTTTCTCGCAGTAGTTGTCCTTGGTCAAGCTATCGCCAGAAGATATACAAACAAAGCAAAACTTGGCAGGTTTTACCATGGGTTTAACCAGACGCTTGGGAATCTAATCCACATTCGCATTTAACTCGAGGGCCGGGTGCGGCACACGATGCAGATTGCTTCTTTTGCCGATGCCGGCCACTCAAATTCAACATGGCCATACGGAGTACTCCGCATTGTTTTCTCCTCCACTGCTCCTTTTATTGCCCTGATGAGGGCTATTCAAAAGAGGTGTGTGTGAGTGAGTCTTCGGTACAGTAATATTAGAAATTAAAACAAAGGCACCACCTGCTCGCTGCTGTACAAAGAGGGGTGGAAAGGTCCTTGGTGGCGCCCGCAAGCATCAAACCAACAAAAAAGCGTGTCTTGTTTCTTCATTGTAAGTACTCCATATCGATAGCTTTGTACGCAGTAACACCGCCCGGGGAACGTGTTGAGATGAACAGTCTAGAGGGGGAAAAGTAACCAAGACATTACAATAGGAAGGCGTCGTGCCACCAATGTAAATCTGACAGCTCGCAAAAAGCCAGATGTATCCCCTCGGTGCTACAACTCAGTAGTTGGAAGCAACGGCGGAATTAATAACAGGCCAAGCAATAGATGAGACGGAGCCGAGTCGCCCACGATGAATAGCAAGGCAATACGACGCACATGGTGTACGGAGGACCCGGGCCGTTGACATGGTTCCCTCTCTCCACGGTGCGACAACATGGCTCCCGTCGACCACAAGATAAAGAGGCAAGGAGGCATTAGCCACAAATTGCACCCACTCCTAAACGAGATGCTGCCAGTCGACTCCGTCAGCCAACCCTAACGAAGGATTTGTCTGGAAGCAAGTTGAACCGCCAACGGGACGGCCATTAATTCAAAGTTCGGGCACACCAGCCACAGCGCCCATTCAAGGCCATGAATGGAGCACAGCCGGGCCTATTCACAACGCATTCTTCTTCATTGACCAGACGACCATCCATCCCTCCAGCCGACAGCGTGGCAAGTTTCTCCGGCTGCCTGGCTAATTTGGGTTGGGCGGGTGCATTCTGAGGCTGCTTGTAAGACGTCGTACCGACAACTAAGCTTTCCTGGAGAGTTGCAAAATGGGCAGTCGAGCGCCGACAATACATACTAGACAGTCACCAGTGGCGTAACGTACCTATTCAGCCCTATTATAGTCGTTGAGCCAGAAATGAGCCAGAAATGAGAATCCAAGGGCCGACCGGCAGGCCGATTCGGTTGCTCAGGGCGGGCTTCATTTCTGTGAGGCGCTGTGCCCGTCTCTACAGCACAGTATTCCGTTGGGTTTCGATTATGAATGCGTGATGAATGAGTCAGATCTTGAAACGCACTCACACCTCACAGCTCATAGGGCCGCATTGTTTTGCTGTGCCTGCACCGCCTTTTGGGCGAAGTTCAAAGTGGAGGGGCGTGTGTTTATGAAGAGCCTCTTGTGATGCTAGCCTTGGAACATTCTTTTTCCAGTCTATGTACGTACATACGGAAAAGATGTTGCTGCAGATGGGGTGGCGGCAAGAGGGCATTATCGTACATACGTACTTCATGCTACGGAGTACTTACTGCCTTCAGAGTCATTGATGCCCTGACAACAACCTGGTACAGCAGGCCCTGACAAGGACACGGTTATCGTTTGTGTGACGGAGGAATGCGACAAAGAGACGCCTGCACCTCATGTCCAGGTCGCATGCGTGCAGCTTCTTTGACGCTGCAGGGCTGACAAACCGGAATCTCGGTCTTCGCCACGAGGGATACGCAGTCATTCCCTCCCTCGCCGTGGCTCGTAGCGGCATGACTTTTGGATTACTGACCATGGGAATAGTCTCTGGCCGGCTTACGCCATCCTGGGCGTGATACAGGATCTACACAAAGAGTTCGCCAAGCTGAGGTTGGTCAGGATAATGTTACAACACATGATAACGCCCGGAGCAGTGTCCGGTCCCATTCTTACCCCAGACTCACTATGGTGGTCGTATTCCTATCTCCATCTTTAAAGAAGTCATCGGGAGTGTGGCGGAACAGGCTAAGCATTACGGAGTTGTCCAACGTCAGAAATAAAGTCGCTCTTCCCCCCTTTGCCCGCCGGGGATAGGCAAACATACTCTGTGTGTATATACGCAGTGGAGGAGCAGGCAAACGTGCGTCTTGCCCTTCCTACAGATATACTTTCTCTTTATGCCGGTTTAGATCATTTGAAGGCAAGCCGTCACATCGAACGCACGGCACGGTCACTGAAACAGAGCTGTGGGATTGGTTGCTTGTCGCGGCGTATAGGTTGTGTTTGCGCTTGCATGGTTAGATAGAAACAAGTGGCAGATTGGGTGGGATTCGCCGGTTCCTTTTTTTTTTTTTTTTTTTTTTTTTTTCTCTCTGGGCGGTTGTCCAACGTCAGAAATAAAGTCGCTCTTCCCCCCTTTGCCCGCCGGGGATAGGCAAACATACTCTGTGTGTATATACGCAGTGGAGGAGCAGGCAAACGTGCGTCTTGCCCTTCCTACAGATATACTTTCTCTTTATGCCGGTTTAGATCATTTGAAGGCAAGCCGTCACATCGAACGCACGGCACGGTCACTGAAACAGAGCTGTGGGATTGGTTGCTTGTCGCGGCGTATAGGTTGTGTTTGCGCTTGCATGGTTAGATAGAAACAAGTGGCAGATTGGGTGGGATTCGCCGGTTCTTTTTTTTTTTTTTTTTTTTTTTTTTTTTTTTTTTTTTTTTGTTCTTTTTTTTTTTTTTTTTTTTTTTTGGCCTCAGTGTTCGCTTGCAATGCAGACTGACCGCCTGTCTGGCCAAGAGCTGGTACCCTGCAAGCGAGCACGCATACCACGCACCAGGCTGGCACACCCATGAAAGGATTGGGTCAGAACTGCTCTGTGTATTGAACGGAGTACTCTGTACGTACGGAGTTATACCGTACCGTCTTTGCGAAAGAAAAAAAGAACCAAAAGGTGTCTGACGCGGATCCAAAGTCAGAAAGCCCAAGTTCTGTCATCTGCGAATGACGACGATGCTGACTGGGCCAGGTTTGTTGAGCCATTCGGTTTGACATCCGTGTTATACATGGCATCCACTGGATATGGTAGGTAATATGACTCATACTCGTCATCCCTTGACTGACGAAAAGTGGTTACAGGTTACAGGTTACAGCAATCGCTGATTTGTAACTCAGCAGTGCCGCTTTTTGGTCTGTACGGGCGGAGGAGATGCTGTCAACGGGCGTGGCCTTGGCTATGAAAGTACGGAGTCTGTACAATATGCTTTTGAAGGGAAAAAATTGCTCATTCGTGGGTACCATCTGCAATATACAGACGTGGCTGCTGCTCGGCATGGATGGGCAGGCCAGTGAACCCTGACACTTCAGACGATACTGGATACAATCGAATCAAACATCTCCCAAGCACAGCTTGCACCAGGTATGCCGGCTCATCGGTATCCCACGCAAGAGCCGGTGAGAGTTGACACGCATCTCAGGCACACCGATAGACGGGCCCAAAGGTCCTACGAACCGGATGATTGCTTGCATGTGGCTTCTGCAACAGCACGGCAGCCGATGTCCATAGTTTTGATACCCATTGCCGGTCCGTGTCTTTCTGATAACTAACTGGGAATATTGATGTGGCCATCGTGCCAGCGCACACTTACATTGCTACCCATCGCCATCACACCGGCTGCCATCAACATCACGATTGGGGCCTTGGGAGAGTTTCCTCGGCGCCCGAGAAAAGTGATTTCTGTGAACTGCGACATGGGGCGTTGAGTAGTGAATTTCTTTGATGTCTTGTCTCGCCCTAGACGGGATCGTATCCGCCGCCACCCGCCACCATGACTAGAAAAAAAAGTCGGTATAATATTGGCTTTTTTTTCTTTGTTGTCCGGCACAGCACAACCCACTCGACCTCCTTGTTGTCTCGTTTGGCTTTACCAGCCTACGGTGTTCTATTCTCCAAATTCTCGGGACGTATGCCTGGTCCGGGGAGCACGGGAAAGAAAGCACCCTGTCCGCCATTATGTCCCTGTCTCGTTTGTGTTCTCCACTGTTAGCCTTGCCTCGCCACGACGACGAAGAGCCAAGGGATCTGCTCGTTAAATTCAGACGGTATTCAGGGGAAGCGGCGGGGGTTGTCTCGTCCCTCAATTAAAGACGATGCTGCCTCCCTTTCTTTTGTCAGCCAACCCGTCCATCCAATCGCTGACCAACATCTCACTTTCCCAGATGGCGAGAATTTCGCCAACTACACACCAATCAGCCCATATTGTTGGACTCGCCCGCGACACGGCGTAATCTCCCCAGATGCGGAGGACCTCCCCCGGGTAGTACTCCATATCCCGGGGAAGAAACCCGGCGTGGCTGAACGGCTGAGGAACACCCTCCTGTCGCCTTGTGAGGCCCGAAACTCTTCGCAAACACCTCCACTTGGAGCCTCCCGGTCTGCGACTCTAACTCGTTTGAGGTTATTGGATATCTGGTAACACTGGCCGTCGACCGAGGCTGGTCATGGTCCTCTTTACTTTTTCTTTTTTTTTTCTTCTTCTCCTCTTTTTATTTTGCTTTTGAATCTACAGATGTGAAATGAGCTCGGGGCTGTTTGTCCCCCCTTTGGCACCTGTACTGAGTCCATGATACGCAGTCTTCTTCTCTGCTGTCTGTTGGTGGCGATTCGTGTCGAGCAGGAGGAATTCTGAAATGTGACGATACTGCATCCTATCCGCTTGGACGGTTGGCCCTTCCGCTGTTGGTCCTTCAAACTCGTATATGGTCAGTGCCCGCTAATACAAACTTCCGAGACAGCTTGCTATTGTGATACCCGACCGATGAGTATTACGAATGCCAAGATTGGACTCTATACTATCGGGTGAGAAATGGCGGCGTTTTGATTGGACTCGACGTCGTTATGCGGGTAGGGTGTAACCCCCATACCATATTACGCAAGATACTCTGTACATCGACGTAATATCTAGTAGAAGCGAATTTTGAGCATTCTTTTGAAAGATCTGTTGAAAGGGCAGTGGTACCCATTTGTCACTGGAAAACGAAGCTGTCTGTGCACCGTATCAGTCGACTTGGTGTAAGGCCGCTTTGACGCGTTGTGTCTGCATGCACGTCTGCTGCGCCGTCTGTTGCTGTCGGGCGAGCCATGTGTCCTCGACAAATTCCATTCAGCTCAGCCCTGCGTCCGGCCGCGGGGATAGATAGAGTCTACTGCTGAACGCGTGGCGCCGGTAGCCAGTCTCCTGGGAGAAATACGAATGATGTTCGAGTTTTGTGTCGCAGATCCAGCTTGATACCGTCGAGCTTTGCGCATATCCGGCAACGACCAACTCAGCAGAAAGAGCTTCGCAATGTATACCACAGAACGGAGACTCTACACACTGTCCCGAATAGTTGTAGGTTATTTTTGAACGCATCAACACAAACAGCGGCGTTCAGGGGAGCCGCTGCCCAAGGTAAATAAGCTGCATGGCAGGTAAGGACGGAGTATGCCTAAGGAGCGTGATCAACCCGGCGTGTGCCCTTGTGTATGTGTACTTGCGGTGATTTGGCGGCCACTTCGTCCTTGAATCCCCTCCCATGTATGCAAAAGACTGAGCTCAGACGAGGTTACCACGTCTGAATGACGCGGAACAAAAAATTAGTGTTCAAGGGGAGATATTCCTCATTGGGGAGACGGCCATTACAAGCGGCCGCTCTGTAAAGGCGACTTTTATCTCGCCGGGTTGGTGTTTGAATTATGCCTGGTCACGGACTGTGTCTTTGAGGGAACTTGTCAAAAGTTCCAGGGACTGAGGGATCAAGTTGGAGGTATATGGGCTGTGGCAGACAATAACATTGATATGAGGCGGAATGCGGAAGGAAGTCAAGGAGCTGGGCTGGAGTCTATGTGGAGGGCAAATTTAACCCATTTTAGCCATGAGATGAATATACATCTAGACCATCTTGCTGATGAAGACGTAGTAGTAATATAGTACCGAGACGCCTGACGCGTTTGCCCTCGTTCACAAGTCTCTCATTTTCCAGCGCTACATCACGAAGAAAGCAACAGACGAAACATGTTGTAGACTCCGGGAAATAATCTCTTTGCAAGAGTTACTATGCTTGTTAACCAAAAAAAATAAAATAAAAACCTGTATACCCCGCGCCAAAAACGCCCTTGCCAAACACAAAACAATTGCAAACGCTCTCTGTCCTCACGCCTAACTCCTCAGCGCATCCAACCGGTTCCGCATCTGATCCATCATGGCCTCCGCATCCTCCTCCTCCTCCTCCTCCTCTACTTCCTGCGCCTGCGGCTCCGGCACTGGCGCAGCCGGCAAACTCGGCTCCTTCCTGTCCTTCAAAATCTCACCCAGCACCTTATCGACCTCGCCCTCATCCTCCACAAGTATTTGCCCATCCTCGGGCAGTATATCCTCGACCATCTCCTCAATGATACCGGCCTTCATCAGCTCTGTGCTCAGCTGTTGCATGGTCTGTGCCATCTCGGGCAGGCGTATCAGCCTGTTGAGGTCCTTCATGATGCCGACGCTGGAGCGGATGGAGCCTTCAATCTTGCGCACGGCAAACGCCTCGTTTACTTGCAGCTGGACCGAGTTGAGCTGGGCCTTTGAGGTGACTGTGCGGGCGGAGACGCGGCGCTGGCGAACGAGTTCGTGGGCAAAGTCGCGGACTTCCTTTTGGGCTTGCTTCGCGCGGGCAGGGTCTTTCTGGGCGCGCTTGTCGGCCTGGATGATGAGGTTCTTGATTTTAATTTCGTTTTGCTTGTTGGCGGTGATGTCCCGGTCTAGTTTGCGGATATTGGAGCGGATGAGGGCGTTGCATTTGCGGAGCTGCGGTGCACGGGTTAGCACCATGGACAGTGGTTTGTGGTTTTTTTTTTTTTTTTTTTTTTTTTTTTTTTTTTTGCTCTGGATCATATTAGGGGGTTAGAGAGACTGACTTGTGCTTGGGGATCGGGCTTTGCGAAAAGGTTTCTGAATGTTTCCATGGTGGTTGGCTCAGGTTCAAGATGATCGGCCGGAGGGGTAGTTTCGTGAGTTTAATTTAATGGTGGTTTGAAGCCAGCGAGGGAGGCATAGAATGAGGACACTAGATGGGCGTCGTCTCGGTTGTAGTGGCGCCTGTTTGACGCTGGGTCAAGTAACTGGCGATGCCGGCGACGTCAAGAGGGAGGGACACAGCGGTGACGTTGAATGTAGTCATGGCACGAGGCTGGAGTTGTGGAGTGGTGATTGATTGAGTGCTGGCCATGGGTCATTAGACCAGTCAGTGCGAAGCCCCCAGCCAACAGCAACAGCCAGGCACCGCGGGGTCGTTTCAATGTTGCCGTCAATGATGGCAGTGGGGTGAACAGCCGCAGTAGGCAGACGCTGGTAAGCGACTACGCGGGGAGGGACGTAGCTTGGCACAGATGGAGTGTTTGTGTTCGTGTGTGTTAATTTCTTTTTTTCAATAATAAAATTTATATTATCAAGTTAACTTGAAGCAAATGAAAAAGGGCTAAATGCAGGACATCTACGGAGTAGTACCACTGTATTTTGGCCGTGCCTAGGCCAGGGAACCGTAACTGACCAAGCAATACACCATGAAGGCATCGCGATGTGTCAGACACACCAGCCGAGCAAAAAAAATAAACACCATAAGCTAGTTTATTCTCATTGCGGAGAGATAAAATTCAATAATAAAAAGTTGAATCGTCACAGATCAGGTTCGACCGTTGACCTCATTCCACCTCGCGCGTGGCATGGAATAGGTGTTATGTATCAGGTACCTTTGCTCGACTGTCCTCGCAGAAAAGGAGAGATTCATCCGTCGTTTGCCCGTGGTACTAAATCCCCCGTTCTCCGTACTCCGACTTGCGAGCAGAGGCTTTGCCGTCATTGGACCCACTTGCGTAGCTGTAGCTTCCTGCTCACTGGGGTCTGGCAGCTCTAGACATTTCCTCGCTGTTCTGACGCTTTCCACAGCCAGTCCACAGCCAACGAGCCGCAACCGCCCGCCACTCAGCTGCTCTGTTCGGTGTGTCGGCATCCACCCAAGAACCCCCCAGTGCCCTCCCTGGCCACCACCATCAACAACTTCTTTACAAGGCAGCTTTGTTTTTGAGCTCCCGTTTTCCTTCCTGCCTCTACCCACTTCTTGCTCGGTACTAAACCACCACCGAACCTCGCCTTCTTCACTGCCGCTATACTCTTGTCTTTTACTGACCTGCAATTGCTCATCGAGTAGCTTCAACGAGGCAGACACCATTTCTCACCGCACCCCGCTTTGCTTGCAATCCCGCCTCACTCATCCTGTCATCCTTCACCATGGCCGAAACTGCTACCCCCGAAGGTTTGTGGCCGCTCCCTCAATGCCATCCATCACATGCGAAAGCCATTTACGCTGGAAGCCCATATCCTCTCTCAAATGGGCAAGAGGGAAAGGGAATGAGAAAGAATAATATGTGCCTTTGCCGATAAAAATCACCCCACTGACCATTCTCGCTCAACAGTTCTCTGGGCCCAGCGCTCCCCTCAATCTGCCGAAGACGAGAACAACTTCATCTTCTTGACTATCAACGTTCCTGATGTACCCAAGGACAGTATGCAGCTCGACCTCAAGCCCGACAGCCTGACCTTCACTGGTACCTCTGGTACCTTGAAGCGCAAATACCATGTTGAGCTTCCATTCTATGCCGAGATTGACCCCGAAGCGAGTAAAATCCACCACACCGCCAAGAACATCGAGATCAAGATTCAGAAGAAGGAGCGCAATAAGGAGTACTGGCCGCGACTCCTGAAGGACTCGAAGAAGCTCCACTTCCTCAAGACCGACTTTGATAAGTGGGTTGACGAGGATGAACAGAACGAGGCATCCGAAGACGACTTCTCGCAGTTTGGCGGTATGGGTACGTCACGGAATCGTCGATAGTCATCATCATAGGCTTCGCTGCGCAAGCATGGCTTGTGCGGCAAGTTTGCGAATCAAGAAATGAAGCTAACAATCGTACAGGTGGCATGCCGGGAATGGGTGGTACGTCGACATGAACCTCCATCTTGATTTTCAATATTTGCGTGGCGACTTTGCCGTGATAAAAGCCTAAAGATTTCACGCCAGTGGAAAAATGCAAGTTGGTTTTGCTGACATACTGCTTTCTAGGTGACTTTGGCGGTATCGATTTCTCTAAGCTCGGCGGTGCTGGAGGTATGCCAGACCTTGGCGCAATGGGAGGAGAGGAGGGTGAAGAGGACAGCGGTGACGACGACGACGAAATGCCTGCGCTGGAGGGTGAGGAGGGTGCTAAGAAGGAGTAAAAAGGATGATTGCTTAGGCGTGTGTCCAAGCTGCACCAGGCAACTTGCAAGCAGCAGGAGTTTAGCAATAACTGATACGAGAAATATTGATCAAGGGATGAATAATGGAGTCTTTGGAAGCCGGCCTCTGTCACACACACACTCACATGCTATGCTCTCTCACCCCTCTATGTGTCTTCTGTTTCTTCCTTCTCATTTTCTTGCGGCTGATTGTCCGGGGTCAGTATTACGCGTAGGCTCTGAAGGGGCATGCCAACACCGATGCCCATGAAAGAAGCACGAGCGACAAATCGTAATCCCAACAGCCCTCAACCACCATTACCGCGTCATCAGACGGCATCATTCTCAAGTCTGACAAACCGCACATGTCTTTGCCTCCTTACAATTCCTTGGCCAGCCCGGTGATACACCCCCACTCCGCCATCACATTCACCATCTGACCCCCAAGTGCAACCTCTATCTCTCTCTCTCTCTCTCTCTCTCTCTCTCTCTCTCTCTCTCTCTCTCTCTCTCTCTCTCTCTCTCTCTCTCTCTCTCTCTCTCTCTCTCTCTCTCTCTCTCTCTTTCTCTCTCTCCCTACCGCTCCCGTCGCACCAATTTCTCAAGGCTGGTTGGTGGCTTGTCCACCCAGACACCCGGGAACGGACTCGCATCCCAGCAACATCTACACACGCACACACACACACTCTCAACGACACTCAGCAACCATGTGCGTTCGGCGAGCTCGTGCGCCGTCTCCCCAGGACAAAACCACCAAGAGAAACCTCCAAGAAGAAAAGCCATCTCCAAAATCCAAGACACTATTCGTAAGTCATGTAGCCAGCAGGATGTAACAGCCGACCCGACAGCTTGGTACGCCCGTCGCCCCCCTCGCTTCTCGCCCCCTCTCCGTTGTATATATAGCTCGTCGGGGGAGGAAGATGTTGACACGGACCAACTTTCTGGTCCCTCTTTGTCCATTGTTCATTGTTCCTCGCACATCCTCCCCGTCAGCTGATTTTTCCTTTTATTTTGGGGGGGTTGCGAAAAAAAAAAAAAAAAAAAAACGAGCACAAAAACGAGGATACTCTTGTACATTGCCTAGTGTTGCACCTCATAACTACACAGCAACTCGATATGCCCTCTGCTCCTGCGCCCATCTACACCTCCCTGGACGCGGCGAGGGCAGCGTACAGCGGCGCTTGTATCACGGCCTGGCCTGCTGACGAGCCGTATGTCGTGCCGCCTTCCGTGGACCAACTCTCGAGGGAGACGGGGTACAGAAACCATTCTATACAGGGGGCTTCTCGGAAGTCCTCTACGGGGAGCTTGACCGAGTCTACGACATCTTCACTTTCATAGACATAGACTACCATGTCTCGTGTGCGAAGTCCTTGATTTTTCGACAAACTCTTCACCAATCATATAGACGCTCCTTCGAGCAGCTACAAGACTCATGGTCGTGGGTGCATGGGGAGCACTGGGCACTCAAACCATGTCAATCTTGGTTGGCATTGTCGCGTCCTATATTCTATAGTGGACATCTGCTTTGCTTTCAACGTCCTTCGCTTGGCACCAGGCCTCTAGGATAGCAATATAGCAACAGAAATAATGTCGACTCCGACCTTAAGAGTCTGCAGAGCCACGCTAAAGTGAACCATCCACAACGCGCATCTTCACCTCTGCACCCGCTCGTGAAGACAGTTTTTTGATATTTAATGGGTATTATAGTTAAATAAAATTTAATAAGCGTTCCAATCTTACTGCAACGTGTACAATTACTACACAAAAGTTAGTCATCTGTGTAACAAGAAAGCACGCCGTTGAACATACCATGATCTCATCTTCCATGGGAGCGTCACCAGTAGCGCCGGCTGCGCCAGTAGCAGTGGCAGCTCCAGCATTTGCACCTTCGGCATTATTCTTAAAGTAGTCTGTCATCTCCGAATCCAGCTCCTCAGCCGTCTTCTTGGCAGGACGAGCGCTGCGGCCGCGGCGCTTCTTATTGGCTGCCTTGGCATTGCCAGCCTTTCCAACGCCACCGGTAGCACCCTTGCCAGAAGCAGCTGACTTAGGCTGAGCCTTGGGTTGACTAAGAGATTCGTCAGCTTTTGGCCGAGCAAGATGAGGAAAAAGTTAAACTTACGTAGCTCGTTCGGCCAGGGACTTGACCGGAGGCATGACTTTGTCGGCCTGAGCGGCACCGACAACAATTTCGATCTGTTTCAGTCAGATCCATGCTTCAATTCGTCGTACTGGAGAGGGTTACGTGTAATACTGACCTTGATGGGCCGGTTGTCAACAAGGAGGCCATTCAGCTTCTGGAAAGCTTTGCCAGCGCCGTCCGGTTTGTGGAAAGTGACATTGGCAATGCCACGGCTGACAGAGTTGGGGCCATAAACGAGGTCGACTCTCTTGATGGGTCCAACGGCTTGGACAAAATATTCCTAGCGAGGGAGCGTGTCAGTTATCGGTGGTCGGGAATCCAGTATTCACCATCTCCGAGAGTCCGAGCCCGATCCTGCCCAATAATGATTGGCTGCAAACCGCAAAACAAGGAGTCGCGTTGAAATGAGACCGAAGAGAGCTACAGCAGTTGACGAACGAGTAAAGCAGTGAGCCGCGATTGCCAGTACTGAAATGTAGTTTTTTCCCTCAGAACCAGACAACATGATATCTCGAAAGAAGACAGCAAAGCTGGAACATTGGTATTCACACCAACGTGCAACTTCGGCAATCCGGAAGTTGAACTACAAATGACCGCATAGTGGCTGTATCCAGAATGATGATAATCTAGTTGTTGCATGTTGCTTCCAGACCCAAAATACACGCAGAATGTGCAAAAGGTTGATCAGGTCTGAGCCTCCCTTTTCTCATATAGCGACAACTCGTCGCCTTTTCGATTGACTCTCGTGGCCATGGCAAGGCTCACTGCTATACTCGATTGCGTCGAACTGCGATGCGATGGCCGCATCGCGTGGGTAGATGGAATAAACCACCCGAACCCGTGCCTCTTGAACCCATGCTGCAGTTTTTCAAATCATCGCTTAGCTCTTTTAACATTGCTGACCAGGCAAGTAATGAGTACAATGCGAGATGATACTGCTCTCAACCTCCGACGCGATGCACCATGTTTCAGATACTTCAAGCAACTCGGAAGGAGATTCGGGTATTCGGAGCACCATGTCACAGACATGGGAGGCAAGCCGTTCAAGATGAACGTCTGGACGTCGGAAATTACAAAGAGGAGTACGGCGAGGAAGGAAACGTCGAACAAAGTCCGGAAGGTGCTACGCCTTCAACGGAAACATACCTTGATCTGCTGCTCCGAGACGTCCTTGGGCTAAAAAAAAATGTCAGTGAGATGTTGTAAAAACTGTTTCTGATAGAAGCGCACATACCAGATTGCTGACAATAACCTTGCTCTCTCCATGAGCAGCCGCGGCTTTGGCAGGAGCGGGTTTGGCTGCGCTGCCGCGAGCAGGCTTAGAAGCCTTCTGAATACCACCAACAGGGGCAGCAGCCTTGGGGCCAGTTGAACGTCGCTGAGAAGAGCGGCGGTTGGGGGGGGGGTGCGGGACGTACCGCGTGGTGTGTTCAAGATGAACGTCTGGACGTCGGAAATTACAAAGAGGAGTACGGCGAGGAAGGAAACGTCGAACAAAGTCCGGAAGGTGCTACGCCTTCAACGGAAACATACCTTGATCTGCTGCTCCGAGACGTCCTTGGGCTAAAAAAAAATGTCAGTGAGATGTTGTAAAAACTGTTTCTGATAGAAGCGCACATACCAGATTGCTGACAATAACCTTGCTCTCCCCAGGAGCCGCCGCGGCTTTGGCAGGAGCGGGTTTGGCTGCGCTGCCGCGAGCAGGCTTAGAAGCCTTCTGAATACCACCAACAGGGGCAGCAGCCTTGGGGCCAGTTGAACGTCGCTGAGAAGAGCGGCGGTTGCGGGCAGATTGGCGCTTGGCCGAGACGATGTCGTCAAGAGGCTTGTCGAGCTTGCTGGACATTCTGAATGGTGATAACGAATAAGATGCGCCGACTTGTCGGAGGATGGTCTTTTGGGTGGGAAATGGTCAAAATTGATAGCTTTCGCGATAAGCGATCAGAGAAATGAAAGTCAAGTCACTGAGTGTGATGCTTTGTCGCGCGTCTCAAAGGACGTGAGGCGCAAACAACAGGTCGGTGTCGCCGGAATGGTCTGAAAGAAAGGTGTGGTCGAAATGAAAAGACCAGAATGGCTCGGGCCAAGTCTAAAGAACGGGTCGCTAGTAGAACGACACGCGATCTCGGAGAAGGATAAAGGGAAGCGATTTGTCGTCTTTGCAGAAGCGACAAAAATGTTTGGTTGAAAAGCCTGAAGAGGTTGATGAAGGGAGGAAGGAAGACGAGCGAAACGAGTCCAGGACCAGGGTGAGGAAAAGGGCAAGGCAGCCAGGAAAACATACCCCAAGACCAGAGAGGGGAGGCGCAGCTGACTGCGGCTGTCGCAAGCCAGGCTGATTCAAGCTATGTACTCCGTAGGGAGCGCATAACGTAAGCACCAGCTTGGGCTTTCGTGGGTTTCAAGCCAATTGGAGCTTAGGCAACACTATCCGTCATCCCGACCAGTTGCTGCCTTTCATCGACAATGAATGCCCAACAACCGGCAAGGAATATCCCGTCACTATCGCCTGCATTTATGCAGCCAGCGACCTGCTTGCCAGCAATTGCCTCGGCTTGCTCCGTTTGGATCCGTAATACTTACCCGTATGCAGGAAGAGCAGCGCGTCTGAGCCATGTCGGCCTTGCCCTGAACGACATGTCTGTCACAACTCACTCAATGACGGAAGTGTTCATATAGTGAGGAGTTGGATAATCAGCATACAAATAACTCATCGGCATCTACTGTACGAATTTGATTCATCTTTTGCGAGTCCGCCGTTCTGAATACCAGGCGGATAAAGACGCGAAAGTTGAACTTTGGACACTCCTGACTAAGAAAGAACCTCTTTAGTCCGCGCCGACTGATGTATAGGCCATGGGCCATGTGCCAAATGCCCACGCATGCGCTAGATATTGTCTTCAGTCCGACAACGTCTCTCGGGGCTTGGTAGTCGTCGTGTCCTCCACGATGCAAGTCTATGTCAGAAAGAAGTTGCCTCTACATTCACCCTTGCAAAATGCCAAGTGTCGTCGTTCATCTGCGAGAGTGTTTCTTTTTGTTTCTCTATATTTGTAACTTTGTCAAAGTAGCTTGACTACGCACCGCTGTATCGCGGCCAGTTCACGGTCAAGGGCCGCAGCCTTTTGACCGATGGAAGTGCCTCTCGTTACTCGCCCATATTTGTTCCCAACGCCAGTTACGAAGAGCTAGATACCCTCCTCCAATTTGAAATATTTATGTTGAGTCATTGACAAAGTTGTTGCATGCACTGCTTTTTTACAACCGCCCACAAGGTTTGGTGTCATCGTCTTTAATGCTCGCTTTCTCTCTGCCTCCTCATTGAATCATGACGATTTTGCATGCTCGGCTTTGTTTGCAACTGCATTGGTTTCAAGAAAATGATATGCCAGAATTAGAAGCACAGAGGCTGCTCCAAAGAAGACGGCAAGGGAGAAGAGATCGCGGTCGGAGATCATCCTGGTGGCAGGCAACGCGACAGAAGGTATTGATGGTCGGTGAGTTGCTAATAAAAGCTACGTTAGATCACGGACCCCTCAATGGAGCGAAAAGTCATAGCACTGGAGAAACTCACGCGAAACGCTGATGGCAAGACCGTTAAACGATTCAATAGTTGTATGCGATAAGATGTGGTCGAGGAGGACAGCTGGAGCTTTCACGGAGCCTTGCCAGCGCCAGGTACGGACATCTGGAGGTACGGAGGTACGTACCTTCATGCTAGGTGTCGTTTGCGTCCAACGAAGGCACTGCCCACTCCATACTTCGTAACAAGCCCACTGTTTGGAGTACGTGATGACCACTGAAAGCCAGCGAAACACTGTGAAAAGAGGGCCTTGCACGTGATCATATCGATCTCATCCACCAAACGTGGCGGCCCGTCAAAAGTGACGAAACGACGGAGAACTGATTCTTTTTCTCCACGACGTTGAGACGTCTTTTCGTACAAGTTCGAATCGAGTGTACCATTTCGGCGTCTTTCCTTCGTCGAGCCTAAGAAAGCAGTGGCCAATCTATCTAACACCGATATTTCATTCAGCATCGACGTTCTTACCGAGCCAATTACCTTTGCTTAAAGACCGTCTGCACTTGAACGACCCCGCCACCGCCCAATATGCCACCCAAGAAGGCCGATAAGGGCGGTGGTGCCGCCAAAAAGCCTTCGGCAACCAAACAGGTGGAAGACAAGACTTTTGGTATGAAGAATAAGAAGGGTGCCGTCGCCAAGAAGCAGATTGCCCAGATGACGAGCAATTTGAAGAATGGTGTAAGCCCTGAAGAGAAGAAGAAGCAAGCTGAGAAAGCCCAGAGAGAGAAGGAGAAGAAGGCTGCCGAGGACGCCAAAAGGGAAACAGCATTGCTTCTTAATAAACCTGCTCAAATACAAAAAGTACCGTTTGGTGTAGATCCCAAGACGGTGTTGTGCATTTTTTTCAAGAAGGGAGATTGCGAGAAGGGCAAGAAGTGCAAATTCTCGCATGACCCGAATATCGAGCGAAAGACTGAGAAGAAGAATCTTTATGCAGACACAAGAGGACAGGAAGAGGAAGAAAAGAAAAAGCAAGAGACTTCTGCCGAATGGGACGAAGAACAACTGCGGAAGGTGGTCTTGTCAAAGAAGGGCAACCAAAAAACAACGACGGAGAAGGTGTGCAAGTTTTTCATCTCAGCTATTGAGGATGGAAAATACGGCTGGTTCTGGGTTTGCCCAAACGGTGGAGATAAGTGCATGTACAGACATGCCCTGCCTCCTGGGTACGTCATATTTTGCCTTCTAACGTCCGTGATCATGTTTGTTAACCTCTCACATTATAGATTCGTCCTGAAAACAAAGGAGCAAAGGGCAGCCGAGAAGGCACTTATGGACAAATCACCACTCAAGACGCTCACTCTGGAAGACTTCTTGGAATCCGAGCGACACAAGCTCACTGGAACTCTTACACCCGTCACCCCAGAGACCTTCGCCAAATGGAAGAAGGAACGTCTTGACAAGAAGGCTGCCGAGGAGCAGCTTCGCAAAGCCAAGGAGAACACGGGTCGGGCACTTTTCGAGAGCGGCAAGTGGCGTGATGAAGAAGACTCCGAAGAAGACGACGATGGCGCATGGAACATTGAGAATTTGCGACAAGAGACGGAGGCATTGCGTGAGAAGAGGGAAGAGCAAAGACTGGCTACCATCCACGGGGGCGAAGTACCCCTGACAACAGAGCCAGCCGAGTCCGAGGATATCGAGGAACAAGCCGGCCAGGTAGCAGAGGCAGGCCCTGCCGGTGCTTGAACGAGATTGTTGATCATGGTTCAAGATAAAGGCTATTCCGGCCCGGCCTAGTTTTCTTGAGAGAAACGGACAAAGGCAATTCCGAGCACTGCTGGTACCGGCCATGAAACGACGGCACCTGCTGGACAACCCTACATGTGTGGGAACTCGTCACTCCGAATCAGCGGGATGTATCTTGCTGCAGTCATCAGTATTACGTAGCGCATTAGACCGGCCAGGGGAAAGAAGATTCCGAGATGATCTGAAGTGAAATCGAACTGTCTATGAGAATACAATCATTTGAGACATCGACCTATCAAAGACCACGATGAAAATGTTATCCTGTGCTTCTAGTGGATTCGTCGTCGGAGGGTGTGCCGCCAGTATTGCCGGACTTGGTCACAGTAGTTTATGCAAACCATGCCGTTCCTCAGTCATGCACTGCTGCCTCCAAGACATGGACTTGCCTGCATCTGCAGCGCTGTGTTTGGTGTTCGCTGCAAGGCCATTCATCACAAATTCGTATGTATTTGAGCAGTGTTCTAGTGGACTTGCCCGAACTGTGGCCCCTTATTCATCATCTTCCCCATCCGCAAGATGGAGACGACACTGTGGACGATATTAGCCGGCGAATGCGCCCCCAAAAGCCACGGAATGCCCATACACGCCATGATGGGGCCAAAAAGACATCCTGATTGCTGGCATGATGCTGTAAGATTTTGGAAGAGGGGTCATGCAATACTTTGAAAGTACCCTAGCTACCCAGGGTACTTGAATAAGGTAGGGTGTCTTGTATTTTGGTGCTAAAGGTGGTGGGATTCGGCTGCTTCAGTGTTGATGAGAAAACATTGAGACTGAACGTTCAAGTCGATTCCAAACCAACCACAAGGAGGAACATGAAGCAGATGGTAGCACTCTGGCATGTGTTGGGCATTGTCACAGGACGCTGCAGTCCCCAAGTACCTGGGTACTTTGGTCTGGTAGTTCGGGAATGTGAACTGTTGAGCACAACTAGGATCATCGAACTAACAGTCGCAACGAACTGGTGTCGCGTCCAAGCTTCAGGCTTCCCGTCTTGTCCAAACATCTGCGCATGGCAATTTGTCCCCGCTTTTGCCCCTCCACGATGAGGCATGCCATTGGGTAGTAGTGGGGCGCACTTGCCGCTCTTTGCCCAGCCCTGGTTCACATAGAGAACATAGTGCTTTGTTTGTCTATTTCGCTTTACAGCTATATTTGCTGCTTTTCTGAAAGAAAAACAAAAGTAATAAAATTCTCTAAAGATACATATCAAACAGAAGGTAGTTTGTGTGTCGTGGACTGCGTATGAATCAAGGACTCAACTCGGGCTAAAAGCGGCGCTGCTTACCCAAGGCATTAGTACCCAGGTGCTGTGAGTCGGTGTGATGTAGTACTCCGGACAGGGTTCTCGATTCAAATCGCAACCATCGAATTCAATTCTTTGGTTCAGGCTTATGGCCCTTAAGAAAAACTACAGACCTACGTAATGGCACTTGATGGTTGGGCCATTGGATGCGCGGAACGGGCGAATTGCAGGCAAATGACGGCCGGGAGTTGGGTTTGAGATGGGTGAGAGATGGACGTGAGATGCACATCAAGATGCACAGGAGATGGCACCAGATGGGACCCTCGAGACGCTCAAAGTGGCATGGTCGATGCAGCCAAAGCACAAGTCACCAATGCCGACTGGGTGGTTGTTGAAACTCCAACAAATGCAAATGTTCATTCGAGTGGCTCTCTCGTTCTGTCTGTGGCCGGCCGACAATTCGTCTTGCACTTCTACATCTCACCCACACGCAACTGCTGAGGCCGTTTGTCGAGCACGCTCTCTTTGCGCGTGGAGAGCTGCCGAACACAAGCCTCTTGTTCTTCATTGACCCTTTCCTTGTTCCCATGTGCCTCCTTAGATCGAAAACATTGAAGGTCCCCAGGTGCCGCCTCGCCGCTCCACCCAAGTGCTGCAGCCCGTCCGCACAGGCCACCAAGGAACCCGAGCACTGACATGGAGCTTCCCCAAGCTCCCTTCCAACATTTTGATCGTTCCAGCCCTTCCGGACGCTAACTGGTGTGTCTCCAGTCCACTGTGCTCGCTGCGCCAGAGCGTCATCCACGCCACCAGACCAGACCACAACCACCAACCAGTCCACCACAACCACGGGAACCACCAAGCGTCGCGAACCCCTCCTCTTCAGACCAAGCTGTGAATAGCAAGCACCGCCTTGGTTGTTCAATTCGCCATCACCGTTCCCTGCCTCTCTTTATTTCTTTGGCCTCTTCACCACTTTTTCAAGGGCCGCTGTCCCCGCCTGGGCATTAGCAGCTCCCAGTCCTCGAGAACCGCTGCCGCTTTTCGGTGTCGACCTTCGCCCTCGTCCCCCCCATCAGTACTGGATACTGAACCGACTATCCGATTGACATCCGCCGATTGATGGCAGCAGCGCTTCTGGATAATTAGGTCGTGCTGCCGCCCGCGCACACCCCAGGCTCGCTGCTGGTCTCGTCGCTTTTGTCGAGATCACCGGGTCTGAACCGCGCGCGTGTGTGCCGTGGCCGTCTTTACCATCATCCCCCTCACCTTGCTGCCTGGACTTGCTCTCGCCTCGTCTTCTCTTGTTTACCCAGGCTCCGGGCAATTCTAACTGCTCAGTGTCCCGGGACGAAAGACGGCCGCCCCGAACTTGTCCAGAAGCATGACGGTGGAAGCCAAACGCGATCAGCAGCAAGATGTTCCAGGCCGCCTCATCGCGACAGCAGTCATGCCTTCTTCCACCACCCGCCCACGAGACCACGCAAACTCGTTCGTAAAGCGTTATCGGACCGAAATAGCTGCCAGCTCCTCGAGCGTCTTCTCTACGCTGGCCGCCTTCCCTCTTGACAGTGTCAAGACTCGCATGCAGACCTACCAGTACCGTGGCTTCATTGACTGTGTCAAACATACTTATCGTACCGAGCATCTGGGTGGTTTTTTCCGAGGTAAGCATTGGCTTCCTCCATTCAATGCTGTTGTGATGGAGGTGGTCGGGTCGCAATTGGCGCTCTTTAGTCGAAGTCTCAACATCCAAACCAGACGACCCCTACTTTACGGTCCTTTTACATGTACACCGAAAAAGGCGACTCGAGCGAATCGCAATACTAAATTTGTGTGCTTTCTACAGGTGTTATGGCCCCCATGGCCAGCATTACCCTCGTCCGAACCGTGTCATTTTCCATTTACCAACGAGCGAAATATTCATATGCGGCCTGGGTAAAAAAGAATATGGGATACGACATCCTTCGTCATGTGAACAAGCCGGGTACATATCCAAATCTATACTCGGTGGCCTGCTTCGGTGCCGCGGGCGCCACGGCCGGCTCTGTCATTACATTTATCGCCTGTCCGTTTGAGCTTACAAAGCTCAGTGCACAGGTATCTGTGCTACTGGCAGAAAGAGCAGGCAATTGTCAAAAGAGCAGGGCGGTGGCGTCGAGTTATCAGAACAAGGGAACTTTGAGGACCATGGCCAACATTATCAAGCATCGTGGAGTATTGGGGCTTTACACAGGACTCAGGTTACACCTATGTAAGCTTGTCAACTCTCGGCGAGTTCCTGGAACCGAAGGCTAACTGAAGTCAACTAGTGCGTGATACACTGGGGACATCAATCTACTTCATGGTGTACGAGAGCGGGAAGCAGCTCGGAACAACCCTAGCCGGGGACAGCCCAAATAGCAACAAGTTGGCGGTGGTAACAGCCGGCGGCATGTGCGGTCTTGTTTCTTGGGCATTGATCTGTAAGCAGGCCCCGTGTCTCTACCACCTTTATCTGCTGCCGCAACTAACACCATTTACAGACCCCATCGATTCCGCCAAAAGCATATACCAACGGAACTCACTCCTCCACTCCCGTGGAGAAAAAGTCGCTCCTGCCCCCAAGATCGAATTCTTCAAACGTCACATGTACCGCGGGTTGGGTGTCTCCATGAGCCGTTCATGCCTCGTCAATGCCATCTTTTTTTCGTCATTCGAATTCGTCAAGAAGCGCATCAAGACGCTAGATGACAACGACAACAACATCAACAAGTCAAGGACATAATGTAACAACAAAATGAAATCCCTTTGTTTTCTTCAAAGAGAAAGAAAACAAATCCAAGCCCCAAACCCCTCCGGAAATCTTCGGTGACAGCCAGACGGCTGGTTGTGCTTTACTTTTACTTGGCAGGAGGCCTTCCTGCACATGCATATCATGAAACAGGCGTTTTTGCGGTCCCTTTTTTTTTTTTTTTTTTTTTCACATTTATATCATCGGGGTCGACCTTGATCTGTGGAATATATTTCCATGGAGAACTTGCTGTGTGCGCACGGAAGTTCCTACAGACGACCAGAAGTGTTCAAAGTTGGGTTGCATTATCAGGGCAAAGGAAAGAGATAGTGACAGCTTTGAACGGCGCTCCGTCCAGAGAATGGACAACAGTGGGCAGTGTAGCATAGCAACCCATGCATGTTCGACTGGCTTGCCCAAGGATTGTTTCTAAATCACGAAGATGGCACCTCGGTGCCTGCCTGGAGACACCCAGGCGTGACTGGCTACTGGTGCTTCAATAGTATGTTACTCCAAAGTTTGTCACATGAAGGACATTTTTGAAACCCCTGCCGATGGTGCCCGTTTGTGCAACAGGGTCCATGTGTCTGGGCCCTGCATCGTTGAACAAGTGGAACTCGGACAATGTGAGCGAGTGACTTTAACCCACGGTCAACTTGGTAGTCTGGTCGTGAACCTTTTTTTGCTTTTTTTTACCAGAGTGGGCTAAGGCTGCTCTCCTATGGGCTAGCCTTTTGCTGTCCTTCTCTAACCAAGGGTCGTTGTACTCCGTCACGTTTTTCTAAGACGATGAGACGCAAAACCTACACCAATAACACTCAACGTCATAGGGATACTATGGTCTCAACCTAATTCAGGGTGCCTTTGTAGAGTGTCCGATGAAATATGTGATTGCATTTGCCACAATGTACAAAATGCCGAGTTTTTTAGACGTATCAAGGAGACTTGTATATCAAACTCCATGTCAGACGTGGCCATCATGATATTTCAAAAATTGATATTCAAACGAAATTTGCATCTCGGCAAAAGTAGTCAAAATTCCCCGCTAAATTGAATGCAGTGAGATGAATGCAGTCGCCGGAAGCAATGCAAGCAATGCCTCGTGGCAATCAAACTCCCTGAATCCGGATTTTCTTTAAAAAACACAGCAAGCAATGCCAAACGACACGTGCCATCATCTCCTTCCCTTCTAGGCTCTTCCTCTAAATCTGTAGAACTGCACTTTTTTCCTCTTTCCCTCCCCTTTAGTGATGCTATTGAACTCAGCGACACATGTGCATGACTTCATCAACAAATACACAGAAAAAAAAGTGGGCAGGAAATGCTCCTGTCCATGTGTAAACCCTCATAAGTGATTACGCCCCTTCATTCTTCATCCAAGTGTGCAAATTTATGCACTGATTGCTTTCCATCACTGAAGCTCGGAAAGTTCCTGCTCTACCTGGGCCTTGACAAGCTCCCGGACCTTGCTTACACTTCCCTCTACCTCAGTGACCCGTTTCTCCTTGTTGGCTAGTCCGACAAACTCTTTCGGCAGTACCTTGTTCTCGAAATCGAAGCCGTCTAGTCCGTTCAAGGCCTTCTCCACTGCACCGGAAAATTTAGCGGGGTGGGCTGTGGACAACGAAATGTGGTGGACATCTGGGCTGGCGTTGGCGGCGGATCTGATGGTGGCAGCAACACCAACGGCGGAATGCGGGTCAAGAACGTATCCAACCTTCTTGTACAGAGCCTGTATGGTTTCCAGGGTCTGGCTGTCGTCTACTCGCTCGCTGTCAAAGTCGCGCTTGGCGCATTTCAGAACATCCTGGTAGACGGGGCCAAATGATCCCGTCGTCTTCAACTCCTTGAGCCACTTGGAAACCTCCTGGCCCGCCTGCTTCTTGTTCCACTGATCGTCCATGCCCGCGCTTGAGGCAAATTCGTAGGCCAAGAACCAGAGCAGGCGCTCAAAGTTGCTAGAAACCAGAATATCCATGGCAGGGCTGAGAGTCTCCTTGACGCCCTCAGGGGCGATATCCTTGCCATCTTCGGGTGCGGGCTGCTTCTCGTACTTTCCAGTCTTCCAGAAGCGGTTCAAAATGTCGTTCTCGTTGGTTGCGATGACCAGTTTCTCGACAGGTAGCCCCATACGCATGGCAAAGTACCCGGCCAGGATATCTCCAAAATTTCCAGTGGGTACGACGAAGCGAACCTTGTCGCCAAGCTTGAAGTTGGGGGATTGCTTAACCAGGGAGAAATATGAGTGGAAGTAATAAGTAATTTGTGCCAAAATACGAGCCCAGTTGATGGAGTTGACAGCGCCAACGTTGATGGGCTTGTTGGCGTCGGAGTCGGCGAGCATGGATTTCAAGATATCCTAAAGATCAAAGTAAGTCAGTCAATCTTTGTGGGATATGAAGTTGGGTGACAGCATGTAAAGTGTATAGTACCTGGCAATCGTCGAAAGTCCCTTCGATGGAGAGGTTGTGCACATTCTTATCCAAGACAGTGGTCATTTGCAGCTCCTGGATAGGGCTTACGCGACCCTTGGGGAACATGATGAATACCGAAACATCTTTTTTGCCGCGTAGGCCGTAAATGGCAGCGGAGCCAGTGTCACCACTGGTAGCACCAACGACTGTGAGATGATGACGGTCTAAATCAAAGGTCAGTCTAAACCTGGTGGACGAGCAAGATGTTGCTGCAGGACCGCAAGTAAAAAAGCCAGGGCGTCTGCTTCCGTTACATCAACGGCATAGGGGCCATACCTCTTCCAACCTTGCCCTCATTTTTCCTAACTAGAAAATATTCGAACAAGTTGCCAACAAATTGAAGGGCAACGTCCTTAAAGGCAAACGTGGGACCGTGGAAAAGTTCGAGAAGATAATGGTTGCCGTCAAGCTGGACGAGCGGCGTGACTTGGTCGCTGCGAAAAGTCGAGTAACTTCGATCGACAAGGTCCCTGAGATCTGGTGAGGGTATCTCGGACTGTGAGATGTAGAGAGACATGATTTCGTAGGCTAGGTCCGAGAAGCTCAGGTCTTTCCAGCTTTCCCAGGCTGTGGCTCTGGGGATCTGCTCGGGAATGTACAGACCGCCATCGGTAGCCAAGCCACGTAGAACGACCTCTTCGAACGAGCACTATAGCCAAGACAAGACAAGGACGTTAGCAGGAGAGAGGAATGGTTGGGCGAGTGGAAAGAGAAGGAAAAAAAAAATCAATTAGTGTAGCACATGGTACAGGCATTGCCAATTGAGCGTCGAAAGATGCAACCAGATGTGAGCCAGGGGTTACACACGACAGCGTTACTTACATCACTGTCCTCGCCGCGAGTGCTCAGGTAACGCTGCGACGGGTTATGAGAGTCGCTCGGCCCGTCAGAAACTCCGTTTTGTGCCATTGTCCTGATATGCCAACTTCTGCACTGGGTTTGGGGCGAAGCAGAGTGTGTTGTTGAGTATCAAAAGGCTGCGAAGAAGCGGGCCGAAGATCGGTGTTGAGGAGATGACGCCCACGGGGGGGAGAGACGACAATGAGGGGCAGACGCGGCAAGTCTCGGCACCTCGTGAGCCAAGAAAGAGGGGGGATAAAAAGAAGAAGAAGAAGAAGAAAAGATCAAGACAGCAATGCCCGGTGGGAGTAGCAGAGGCCGGGGGACAAAGCGCGGCTGGTATCGAAGAATGGAAGGGCAGAAAATTCAAGATGTCGAATTTGGCCAGACTCGCTGGTTGGCACTCCGCCAAGGTTGGGTTGGTACCCTTCCCTACCAAGTACTCCATACATAGGCCCTCAACACCAACAACGTGCAGCCACTCGCCGCCTGTCGAGTCAGCCCCTCTTCCCAAACCAGCTTAGTGCGGGGTGTCTGCCTGCCAAGGGCTCTTGACTGTTGCGTCTGGTAGGTACAGTACTCTGTAAGTCACCGTTCTTCGGCCCAGCTTGACAAAACGCGAACCACCTGCTTCCCTACATTCGCCGACCTCAAATGCCACTCCTTCCGCCTTCTGGTCGACTCCAACATTGAACTCCGCATACAGACAGGATTGGAGCCCTATCCACGTGGTCTTCGCACCTCGTCGTCTTCCGTTGCACGACGTAGAAGTAGTTGACCCATCGACCAGGCTGCATGCACCAAGTTCGCAGTCGGCCAACACCTAACCTGACGGACCGACGACATGCATGCCTTTGTCCGTCCGCTCGCCAGCCAGCGCATCATGACGCAATACAACCAACAGCAAGCGTTGAACCGCCCAAGACTTTCTGTTCCAGCTGCACAAATATCCCAGCGCGAGCACCACTCGGGCACTGAATGATTCTCCGATCACCACCACCCCGAATGCCTAGTCATCTTCCAACAAAGAATCAAATGGACTGTCCGCTATAGCGTCTCCAGATACCATCTTCAAATTGTCGATTTTGCCCCTGTCACCGCTAGTGTAAATCTGGGCGCGGCATCAGCTAGCCGCTTTGTCAAGAGGGGGGCAGTTTTAGGCTTTGAGGCTTTGAACGCTCCGAGGCTCGCGCAGCTTGTGTAGATACGCCGAGGTGCATTCCGCAGTGCCTCTCGCAACCTGTTCGGGAAGTCGGCAGCGCCTCGCCGCCATGACCTGAATGTACAAAGAATTTTTAGTACAAACAATGAAAGTAAGTCCATTTTAATTAATCCTATAAAAGCTTACATAAATTGTGATTCATTAGATATTAAAAAGATTATTTATAAAGATAATATAAGATGTCAGGTATTAATCTATATCCGGGGAAACTTACCTTCCTGATTGGGGCTCTATGGATTGACAGCCTTGTATCCAAGTTGCCACGGTCTGTGCATACAAAAGGAATACGCTGACGTTTCTGGGGCTGAATCGAAGTTGCGTGATAGCTAACATGTTCACGTGGCAACGACGAGCTGAACATGAACCCTTTGATAAGCCATGCTCAAGACAGTCTACAAAGGTCGATGGATCCATGGAACCACTATGCTGTGATTGACAGTATATGCGATCTCGTTACTGGTCATATCAAAAATGAAACATGAAGATGCTAATCTTTGGACGGGCAATATACACATATACATACAACGCCCAGACTGTTGTGTTCAGCGTCTGCAATTTCAATTCATTACTTCGTTAAGCTTCCGAGATCCTTTGCTCCTTAGTGGTAGTCCTTTATGCATTTCCACATTCCATAACCACAGGCCAAATCGTGACAAAAACAAGAATAATAATACAACATGTCCCTCAGCCTCATTTGCGGATGATTTTCAACAGCGGCGCGATTCTCGTATTCTTGCTCAATCCGACACGGTACAACGGACGTCCTAACCCTCCCGTTGACGTGGATGGTGTTCTCCCCGCTGTTTTCTGTACTGCGGAAATGCCTGTGTCAACTTTAGTATCGGATATAGGAGTACCGGGGGTTTCTTTCGTCACTGGCTTGACTGCTGCGCGGCTCTCCGTCTCGGCAACATCTGGACCCAACTTCTCAATGCGTGTCGCCTTTGCATCTGGTTGCGGTTTTATACCCGGCTCCGTATGGGCAGATTCAGGGATAGCCGGTGCAATCTCTTGCACTTCATCGTCGCTGTCAAGCTTGAGCACCGCCGCGGATTTCTTCGGCCTCCCACGTTTCTTTTTGCCATTTGTTTCCGAATCCTTTCCCCTTTCCTTTTCCTTTTCCTTTTCCTTCTCCTTTGGTGCAGCCGTATCTGTTTTCCTGGGACGGCCTCTTTGCTTCTTTTTCTCCACCGGCTTCGGCATCTCTTCCAAGTCCGGGCTATCATGTCTAGCCTCCCGAGGCAAATAATCTCCCACCTCACTTTCGTCATCTGAATCTATAACCACCCTCTTGGACTCTTTTCTGTTCCGTTCCTTTGCCGTACCCCGTTTCGTTTCTGAGACCGGTATAGGCAGGGCGGGAGAAGCAGGCTCTGAGCCCCTTATCTCGGGAGTCGCCTCAGATAACACCGCGTCATTTGACCTCGGCGTATTGATATTAGTAGCCGTCCCACTAGACATGACGTTGACGCAGCGCTGCTCCAGAGGCTTTGTCGCGGAGCCCAACGCGCCGTCGTGAACAGACACATGCCGCTGCTTTTGACTTGTCAATACCGGAGGCGCCATCATGAAGGACGCATCGCTCTCAATAGGCGCCGTCGAAACCAAGTCATCTGAGCCTGTGTCTCGTTCCACCCGTCTCTTCTTCCTGCTTTGTGCAGTCATCTCCGGGAGCTCATCCTCCTGGCTAACATATCCTATATCATCTAGCCGTCGTCGCAAACCCCTCGTGATTTTAGTCCTGGCGTTCAGCGAGCCATCATGTTTCTTGGACGACTTGGGCTGTGCAAGCTCTGGGCTGCTGGGGACGTCCCAGAGGCTCTTGTCGTATATGCCGGTGCCTCTCGTCTCCTGGAAGCCATTGTCGAATGATGACGCGTCCATGACTTCAGCGATTTCTTCGATTTGATCCGTCATATGCTGATTTGCAGCGTCCCGGTGCTCATTGTAAATACTCTTGAAGAAGGTCGAGTCCGTAGAACCAGATGGGTGCGTCGCCGCCGTGGGCGATGAAGCCTTCAGACGGACAGCTGGTGTGCCGCGCCTAGGAGAAGAAGCTACGTCTGACTCGTCTCCGTCCGAGTCTCCAATGACTGCTGGTGTCATTTTGTGGCAAAATGCGGTAACCTGCAGGCATTAGCTCGCCAAAGCTATCAAATCATTCCTACGGAGTTATAGGTCGGGGATGCGCGTGGTGCGAGTACGCGGGGGTTGACGCGGGTGCACGTGACACTATTTTTGTCAAATTTGACAATGCGAAGTCCAAAAGTACCGAATTTCACTACTCTGTACGGAGTACAGTATTACCATACAAATGTATAGAGAAATAAATGCCGGCAAACGAAGTGCTGCTCAGAGTTTCCACGACTTCCGACTTGGATCTCAAATCGTCGTCTCCTACTCAAGGGCGTCACACCCCAAGCCGACCGTTGAGGCACGCAGCCAGCCGGCTTAGAATATTGGTGTTCTGGTCTAAAGTTGATGGCTACTTCTGGTTCCAAACTCTCCTTTCCAGTAAAATGTGATATTTGATGCCTGGGTCAAAATTATACACTTGGTGTTTTGACTATCTAATCGACTGGGTTGAGTTGTACCAGCGCTACTGACACTATACGGACGATCTCATCTGCGATTTGTGCTCGCTCCGCCACGCCTGCGAGGCAAAAGCGCTTGTCTATTTTCCCCCCTTTGGTTATCGCGGGGACACTATTATATAAGACAACACACGTAGACAGACTAATGGACCATTTTCTTTGCCCAGGTTGAATCGGGTATATTATTTGTTACATCTACTTGCTCCTAGGTATCAAAAGCAACAGGCCGGGCAAGCCTATTGCGAACCGCATAACGCCATCATGTTGAAGAATCTCCTCATTTGGGAATCAACATTCCATTCTATTGTTTGTCATGGAACTTCCAAAAAAATATTCACCCCCAAACGGAGTGCTAAATGCATAGATGTTGAATGCTCGCCAACAAACCGCCTTCCAAATCCAGTTCCCTAGCCCTCAGTTTTTCATAAACTTTTTGGGATGCAGATAAAACACATCTTTTGTCATCACCCCATCCCATAAACGCCGATGTTGAGATCGTATCCGGCTTGACTTTAACAAAGAAAATTTTGAGACGAAATAATCATTCTCATCGAATAAAAACACATAAACGGTGTGCGAATATTAGTAAACACAATTCTTCATTCGATACCTGCCCAAATATTCTCATGCGGCATCGACTGAGTCGCAATGACGAATAATTTATTTGGCATACTTGGTACGGAAGAACTTGGCAGCATTGACCATGTTGACCAGGGCCTCCTTGGTCTCCTTCCACTGACGGGTCTTAAGACCGCAGTCAGGGTCGATCCAGAGCTGCTCAGGCTTCAAGAACTGAAGCATTTCCTCAATGCGGTCACGAATCTCCTGCTCGCTAGGGACACGGGGAGAGTGGATGTCGTAGACACCAGGTCCAATGTGTCGGGGGTAAGCGGAGTCAACGAAGACGCGGAGGAGCTTGGCATCAGATTTGCTGTTCTCAATGGACAGGACATCGGCATCCAGAGCGGCAATGGCGTGGAAGAAGTCCTGGAACTCGGAGTAGCAGAAATGAGAGTGGATCTGGGTAGCATCCTCAACACCAGCGGTCGACAGCTTGAAGGCGTTGACGGCCCACTCAAGGTAGGCGTCACGCTCTTTGCCAGAGCGAAGAGGGAGACCTTCTCGGAGAGCAGGTTCATCGACCTGAATGACATCGACGCCAGCCTTCTCGAGGTCAACAACCTCGTCGCGGAGGGCAAGAGCAAGCTGCTGAGCCTGCACGGACTGGTGAACGTCGTCACGAGGGAAAGACCATCGCAAGCAAGTGACGGGACCAGTAAGCATACCCTTCATTGGCTTGCTAGAGACGGAAACTGCGTATTTGGACTCTTTGACGGTCATGGGGGCAGGTCGGGAGATGTCACCGACGATAATGGGGGGTCGGACGCAGCGGGAACCGTAGCTCTGGACCCAGGCATGGGTGGTGAAAGCATAACCGTTCAAGCGCTCACCAAAGTACTGAACCATGTCATTACGCTCCGGCTCGCCGTGGACGAAGACATCGAGGCCAAGCTCCTCCTGGATCTTGACGTTCTGCTTGATCTCCTCCTCGATGAACTTGTCATACTGCTCCTGAGTGATCTCACCCTTGGTGAACTTGTTTCGCTGGACACGAATCTCAGAGGTCTGAGGGAAAGAGCCGATGGTAGTGGTGGGGAAGAGGGGCAGGTTGAGCTTCTTCTGCTGAGCAGCAATACGGGTGGTGAACTGGGACAGACGCTCGTGGTCCTTGGCAGTGACCTTGGATTGGCGGTCCTTGACCTTGGGGTCGTTGGTACGAGAGGAGGTGGCACGAGCCTGCATGGACTTGGCGTTGGCCTCAAGCTGTTCACGGACGGCAGCAGGGCCCTCAGTGACAGCCTTGGCAATGATGGCAATCTCAACAGCCTTCTCGGAGGCGAAAGAGAACCAGTCAGCCACCTCGGGATCCAGCTTCTTCTCGCTGGCCAGAGTGTGAGGGGTGTGGAGGAGGGAGCTGGACGTGGCGACAACCACGCGCTCCTTGCCAAGCTTCTGAATAGCGGTCTCAACGGTCTCAATGGCACGCTTGAAGTTGGTCTTCCAGATGTTACGGCCGTCGACGACACCGGCAGAGAGAATGGTCTTGGGGCCTAGGGCAGCAGCAACAGTCTCAAGCTGCTCAGGGTTTCGGACAAGATCGATGTGGACGGCATAGATGTCCTTGGGGAGGAGGTCCAGGTTGTGGACAATGTCACCGAAGTAGGTCGTAAAGACAAGCTTGGGGATCTTGTCACCCAGACTGGCTAGCTTCTCATAGGTAGGCTTGAAAGCAGCCTTCGTCTTGGCAGGAAGGTCGAAGACGAGAGTGGGCTCGTCAATCTGGACGGTCTCAGCACCAGCCTCCTTAAGCTTGACAAGGAGCTGCTCGTAGACAGGCAGAAGCTTGTCGAGAAGGTCAATGGGGTCAACAGTCTGGCCACGGTCGGCTTTGCCAAGGTGGAGGAAAGAAACAGGTCCAACAAGGACGGGGCGAGTCTTGATACCAGCCTCCTTGGCCTCGTTGAACTCAACAACAGGCTTGGGGCTGTCGACCAACTTAAAGGTCTGGTTGTTCTGGAGAGTAGGCTTCACGTAGTGGTAGTTGGAATCAAACCACTTGACCATTTCCAAACTGGGCACGTCAATGCCGCCCTTCTGGTGGCCACGACCCATGGCAAAGTATTGGTCAACATTGTCAAGGCCATCCTTGGTGTATCGCTCGGGAACAGCCTGGGAAGCCGGTTAGAACCGCGATGCCAATAAGAATGACGCAGAGAGGTAGCAAAAACTCACACCGAAGTCCTGAATGTGGCAAAGGACCTGGTCGTACAGGGCGAAGTCGTTGCTGGGGATGATGTCGACGCCAGCATCCTTCTGGATCTTCCAGTGAGCAAGTCGCAGGCGTTTTGCCTCGGCAAGGAGGTCAGCCTGAGAGATCTTTCCACCCCAGTCTATGGTTTGTGTTAGACAATTGCTCTTCTTCTGTTTCCCGCAATAACAATGGGTCGGTGGCTCAACTTACAGGCCTCGGTGGCCTTTTTCAGGTCACGGTTGACTCCCATGCGGGGGAAACCGAGAATCGCAGACTGGACCATCTTGACGACTGGCTTTAGACTCTCGAATATGTGATGGTGGTATTGAGAAGCTCTGAACAGAAAACACGAGCAAATTAGCCGCAGAAAGCTCGCAAGTGTTCCTTCGCTACTGCCGGTGAGAGATAAAATAAAAGCACGCGGTAGGTCTGGGGGTGAGGTAAGATGAGGGGTATGGAGGAGATGATGCTAACCTGGAAAATGTAGAGCCTTGAATGCCACAGCGAATCGACACCTAAGACGACTCTCTGTGAAGGGGGACAAGGGCGAAGGGTATGTATGATGAAGAGCTTGGGGAGAGGGAAAGGGAGAAGAGCAGATGAAGAGAACTGGGAGGGGAAGAAATAAAAAGAAGAGCGGCGATCAAGACGACAGCTTGGCGGAACACGGCTAATAAAGCGACAAGCGTCAGACCAGAAAAAATGGCGCCGAAAGCGGGGGAGGGGTTAAGTGAGATGAGAGCATGGGCGAGCAACATGTTACTCCGTGCATAACAGCTCATGTGCGCTCGGTACTCCGTACTTACTCAAGCAGTGACTGGCAAAGTCGGCCACGTTTGAAGGTGCAGGGTCCAAGGGTGGCACGTAACTTCTTCTTGGACGGAGACTTTATTGGGTGAGGCACGTTGAGCTTTAATTATGCCTCGAGAGGGAGGACTTGACACTTGGGCACAGACACCGGGAGGTACATACATATGCAGATTAGAGCATGGAACCTTGAATTATTCAACGTTGAGACATCGTCACCTGGAGTTCAAGTGTTGCCCTTGGCGATGGCGATGCTCAGTTGCCCCTCAACCCCCTCAACCCACCTCGATTGATTGAACCAAGTTGACGCTTGTAGGAGTTCCAAAGCTTCAGCGTATGTACATATACCTGCCACCCGCCACACGGCTATTAGCGCGCTCCATTGTCTGAGAGACTACTCCGTAAGGGCTTGACTCCGGCTCGGCTACCACGTTTTTCCGAGCTGCTGCCCCTCCTTGCCCCTCTTGCAACCAAGCTTCTCGACTGCAGAGTCTGCCAATTGCGCCATCGCACCGTTTCTCTTCGTGCCTTCAGCGCTGTGTGTTCTCGTCTGCTTGCGAACATTGGATGTGGGCCCCTCGACTCGGCTTCCGAAGCACCAATCAGTCGCAGGCTCAAGCTCCGAACCTGTCACAACATGTCGCGCACATAAATCTCTCTCCCGCCTTTGACTGAGACTAGCAGTACCGTATCTGTGGTGGTGCTCGGAACATTCACGTCTTCCATGTCCCTACAAGCGCCAAGTCTATGTATAAGGATCGGCTTCACCGTTATACCGACCAATATATCAATCTGCTGCGTTATGTAGGGAATACCAGCAGGAAATAACCAAACTACCAGAGTGCTCCGGTCTCCGGACAAACTTTGGCAATGTGGAGCAGACAGGATCAAAAATTGTTTGCTTCGAGGCCAGATTGCCCCGTAGCTCCAAGCTCGTCATTTACTACGTTAACGCCACCTTCCTTGCCGTCCGTATTCGTGTTTTGTTTTTCAAGTCACCGATGGCCCGTCGCCGACCTCCTTGCCCTTTCGGCTTTTGTGGAAGCCTCCAAGGCTCAAGCGAAAGTGTGTAACGGGCCACGGCCCCAGTACTTTGGACATATAGCAGCTGGCCAGGCATAGAACAACACACACAAGAGCCGGTTAAATCAACAGGCATTGGTTCTCACTTGTAGCCTTCACATATGCTGCTTGCTGATGAATAGCGCCCAACGCGTGCTCTGCGGCGTGAACATGATTCCGATGTCTCATGGATGCTGCGAATCTAATGCTTACAGCTCACCTTGCGTTCTGCTTGTGAACATCTTGACACGTGCGGGATAAGTCTCGCCTCATCTCATTAATTGCCTGGTGCCTAGTCGCTTACTTCGTCAGGACACAGGCGACTTGGGGCACTCGCCGACGACTTGGCTTACACCCGTTCTTGCGCATCTATAAACATCTACATGATCATCATCCATTGACGCGTGTCACTGCCCGTAACTGAAACTGGTTATATGCCCCTATATGCCACATAGTGTCGGTTTGCGGGACGAAGTTGGTTTCAAAAGGCGATACTTCTGCACAAATGTTAACCACCTGTTTAAGACCAGAGACAGACATATTCGTCGGCCGACGTCGAGGCGGAAACTATCAACACCCTAGAGACTCAAAATTGCTCCCATGATTCGGAATCACGTACCTGCCTACCCTAGGTAGGTAGGTAGGTCTGAATGGCACGTATAGGTATCTAGGTACCTTAGTTGGTAAGATGGCGAGCAAACCATCATACGTCCGAGGAAGGAGCTGCGTGGGCATCGTGGCGCTGAATCGAGAAAGTGGAAGGAGCGGCAGGATTTAAAGTTGCATTCATCCAGATCGCTCCCCCTACTGTGATTGTACTGTTCTTCCTGTCTTTCGCTTGTCAAGTCATGGCAGCCCCGACAACCATCTCTTTTTTTCATCCTGCTCCCTGCCACTTGGGACTGCTAGAATTCAGGTCTTGTAGCACCGTCAACTGTTTGCAACTTTGGCATGCCACGCAGCCATTCGTTTCACGTTCCTCGGCTCAAAACCCTGTCCCATTGCCTTATCTCCACAATCAACTTGAATGGCAAAGCACCTAGGAATGAGAACTCCTTAGCCCTCACAAACTAGGACCAAGTCATGCATGCCCTATGGTGCTGCGGTCCCCGGAGAAGCCGTGACTCAGCCGGCAACAAGATCAGCTTCACTTCCATATTCAGAACTTCAAATACTCCAGCCGTGAACACCAGAAACTCCACTGGATCGAACCGGAAATGTAAAGACGGGCACCCAAGCGAGCAGATATCTCCGTTTGAGGGCCCTGTGGAACTTTGCCAGCTTGCTAGCACCAGCCCAGAGAATGGCGATACTGGAAGCCTCATTCCTAGCACACGAACAAGCACATTCGAAGGGGTCAAGGCTAGAATAGTTAAGCATTTGTCGCAGGATAGCGGGCCCAGAAGACATTCTCGGGTGTCCATTGGACACAGTGACGAAGAGTTAGCAAGACGAGCCGAAGTGAGGCGCCTGCGACAAAAGCGAATTCAGGATGAGCTCAACAAGGATGACGGTAATGACGACCAGAGCAACGGGTCACATCAGAGCGCCAGATATCTCTCCACGCTAATTGATATGGGGAGCCCATGTAGCGGCCCGAGGGATACACTTGAGTTTACATTTGATGATTGTGCGCTGGCGTCTCATCCTGCGTCGTCAGACCTTTCCTGCAATCAGTATACACTGCCTAAGCAGGAAGATTGCCAACAAGACGCAGATCATGATGAAATATGTGTCACTCACGACTGTGGCTCTCCGGTTGATACACAGTCAAATCACGATGAATTGCTTTGTCGGTCTCGCCCAATTCGCGGTCCACTACCAGAGAGAAGATGTGTCTCTATGGTATCAATATCCCCTCGACCATCTAGTTGCCAGCCCGGTTCGCCTCGTCTTGACAGAATCATTGGGCCTGACAATGAATTCAATATTCGGCATGGGTCTCATGCCTGGGACGACCAGTCTGCCCTGGGCATATGGCTGATCGCCCAAGGCATGAAGCCAGCTGACCACTTTGTGCTTCAACCTGAGCACGCACCCAGGGATGCAAATACCGCAAACATTTGTTTGCCAACTGAGGGGCCGGGTGGCGTCGATAGCATCCTGGAGTCATCGTTCTCTATACTTGACCGAGTCCATACTGCAGAGTCTCTCCTTCTAGCACACACCGAAGAGACATGCGAGGGTTCAATTCATCCCGCATCTGTTAATTCGAAAAGATCAGACACAGATCAACTACCAAGCTCAGATACTACTCCAAAATTAAGCACCAAATCTCAGAATTCCAATCCCCAGGCCAACAATGGGTCCTCGAATTATCCATCTAAACTGCCTAGTTTTGATCCTAGTCCGTCAGAATCAGAATCACACGGATACGTGCTCAGCCAGAGAGACTTGGATAATTTTGAGCTTTCACCTGTTCATTGTATGTTAAAGATCAAACATTGGCCGGATTCTGACTGACTTTGGCGCAAGGGTGTGGGAATTTGCCGACTTGGAAGGATCTGGGACACTCTGAAGGCCAGAGTTCCTATGCAACCGCAGAAGAGGAACCATCACGGCAACTACCAAGGGGAGCCAATGCTTCAGAAGTTCGAATAAATCACATATCTGAACCACAGCAGGTCAAGGACGATGCGGTATATGCTAAGAAACCTAATTCGCAAGAATCGCTGCCAGGGCTGGATCAAAGTATCATCATTACAGCCCAAACTTACGAAGATTCCGAAAATCGACCGACGCCGACTCTCGGCCGAAAATCATTCAAAGAAAAGTTCCAACACTCTTTATCACATATCTCAAAGCTGAGCTCCAGCAGTTGCAATAGCTCAGTTAAATTTGATGGTATCAAACCTGAAGTTGGCCGAGGCTGGGTAGTCAATGGCAATAACTGGCATAATTTCGTCAACCGCACCTCGTACGACAACACAGAATCTATACGGGTTCAGAACCCGCACGCGAAATCAAAAACACGACAACATCGGCACCAAACTGATTGACTGGGCCGTGGATGTAATTACCCAATTACCTAAGGTTGTTAACCTTGGGTAGCCAGGCAATGATGATGAAATCTCGCCCTCACAAGACGTCGATCGTCCCAAAATAGATGCATACTTTGATCCACAATCGCCTAAAGACGCTGCGAGCGGTTATCTCATCAAACAATGTTTCAGATGAGGCTCCTGCGTGGTGTAAATATGCAGAGGCACTTCCCTGGCAGAAACTGTATCATATCTAGCGAACTTCATTATCATCGATATACTCGAGTTATAGATGTAAGGTCATTGTATTTCCTTGCCGCATTGACTAGCTAAAGAATTAATCACTTGTTAAACCTGCTTTCCGTATCACTTCCAATATTTCTAATGCCAGTGTTGGCAAGCTTAACAGCTATGCCAATAATACCTAGAACAATCTGTTTCCAGCATAATTCCTTGACAATATCTCATCATCATCCCAGAGATCCATGAGGCTATTCATTAGATATTCTCATCAGACGTCATTAGACCTGTTGGCCTCTTTACCCTTCTCCAGGCGGTTCTGTTCCTCCTTGCGCAACAAGTCCTCCTTCATCTGTCGCAAAGCAATACAAAATGGCGATTTATTCCTGATAGCTTGTCCCTTCCACAAGAATACAAATGGAATAACGCTCATGGCAGCACTCAGCCCTCCCAAGACGGCACACGCACCGGATACCCCGAGACGATTGAACATGGCTCTCGTAGCTAGCGGCAACACAACCGCTAGGCAGGACCGTGTCGCGGAGGCGGCTGCATTTGCGGAAGCAGCATACACCTCGTACGCGTCTGTTAAATAATTTAATAAGGTCATGAATATAAGTTGGAAGCCCATCCCGAAGGGTAGGCCCGCGAGCATAGGCACCACAAAAGATATGCTCGGCTTCGCGGTGAAGCCCAGCCAGAAGAGAGATATGACGAACAACGGACCACCGACGGTGGCGAGCGGCACACGACGGTATTCATCACTCATGGCCCACACTGCGCCTCGGGAAGACGCACGAGCGACGTAGGCGTCCCAGCTCCAGAAGCAGACCATGCTCAAGAAGGCGCCTGCTCCGATGGGCAAGTAGCAGAGTCCCGTGATGCCGGGGGACAGGCCGTAGTGGTGGAGGAAGATGATTGGGAACGCCTGGAAGGACATGTAGAAGATAGCATAGGCGAGTGCGAGGTAGGAGCATGTCGCGGCGACGATGGGCTCAAAGAAGAGCATGCGGAGGGGGCGGGTGAGCACCTTGCTGACGAGCTGGGAGAACTCGGTTGTCTCGAGGTCGCGGGGGGCGACGATGGTGGCGGATTGGCTTTGCTGTCGGAGCTTCTTGGCGCGGCGGGCGAGGAGGATCTGGTGATGGGTCTCCGGGAGGAGGAGAAGCATGATGAATGTGAGGCCTGCGTAAAGAAGGGCGATCCAGAACGTCCAGCGCCAGCCGATAGTTGGTGACGCGAACCCTGATACTATTGGACCAAAGATGGGACCGAATACTGTTGTCTGGCATGGTGTCAGCTTCTGATATGAGTCGTGGGATGGGTTTTTTTTTTTTCCTTGGGGGAAGGGCAAACGCCGTACGACTAAGAAGGCGGAGTACGCTTTGCCTCGTACACGAGCATCACCATATATGTCTGCCAGTATGCCGGCTACCACGGCTATAGGGGCACTGGCAAACACGCCACCGCATAGACGAAATCCTAGCAATGAAGACCATGTTGGCGACAAGGCGGATGCCATGGTAAAGAGGCAATAGGCGAAGAACGTCGCGGTGGTGAGATACTTTCTGCCATACTGCTCACTGAGCGGTGCCCAGATGACAGGACCAAACACGTAGCCGAGGAGGAAGATGGAAATGAGAAGGACTTTCTGCTCTTGCGAGACGCTGCCGAATTCGCCAACGATTTGGGGGATGGCCATGCAAGGGAGGGCCGAGCCCATGGTTGAATTGGTGACGAGCATACATGTTACCGTGAGTATATAAGTCTTTTTGAACTATGGACATGTTAGATTGGCATTGGTGGCTTGAATAGATACGGGAACCATTTACAAACGACCAATTATGAGGATTCTCCGGGTCATTGACATCCCAACCGATGACAGTATAGCTCCGGCCGCTTCTGCCTGTCAATAGAACAGCATCAGGGGAGCTCAGGCCTTGGATCCCACTGTTGCGGTCATTTTGTTGTTGAGGTCCAACATCTTCGGGGCCGCTTCCGCTGCCTGTCCTAAGCCATTCCGGTTTTAGTACTGCTATAGTCGAGTAAGGTTAACCTAGTCCTTAGTACTATAGACTCTTTTTGTGACAGTAGGGGCCTAAAAATGGAATAATGCATACCATTCGCCGGGATAAGGGTACCAGACAGCGTGTCATTAGAATTGCTTGTAGACATGATGCTCAAGCTATTTAGCTAGGCACGAGGAGTGTTTGTTGTGTGTGTGCAAGTAGAGAAAAAAGGATTCTTTCAAGTATTGCTACGAGCCTGGAAAGATCTCATGTACAACTCTTGGAAATGACACTGGCCTGTCATATAGGAGTAGAAGATGAAGATGGTTATCGTGGGAATGGGGCAAAGAAGGAGATATAACAGAGCAGGGTAACACAAACCATAGTCTAGTTAGTACGAACATAGCTTGGAACGGCGGGAGATGATCACTCCCGAGAATTCCGTGCCATGATGTGAGATGTCTTGGAACTTAGGATCATCGCCCTGCCCACATGTCTCGTCCTCGCACTGGGTATAAGTGAGCAACACACCGAGTATTGGCTTAATGTCCTTTCCACGGGGGCCGATGCCGCAAAAACTCGTTTGTCTTCGGTCAGAATGGCTGGTTGGGCCCTTCGAAGGGTCATCAGGCTTTCACTAACCTGCATAGTCTTGGCATGGGCAACTGAGGTTACTCAAAAGCATAAGACATAGCCAGGATAAAATGCAGCCACCATGCCATCCATGCTTTCCATGCCTTGATAGTACTCATTGAAACGGTTAGGGCTCAATCTATCCATCCCCGTATCCTCGGGAGACGAGGCCAGCCGAGGACTTGAAGTAAGCAATATAATAAGCCCAGCACGTGGTCATCCTCAGCCATCATGACGCGCCCGTCGACACAGTGTCAACGAGTGAGTCACCAAATTGGCCCTTTATCTATTGGGCGCAACCTAGCAGTCCATCCATACCTGCCGATCGTGACATGCAGATCTCGAATCTCGGTGTCAGAGGGGAGTAATGGAAATCTTCGTCCTAGCCGGTGGGCGAGTGGTTACACACGTGCACGTTTAGAATGATCAATGAGCATTTTCTCCGAATGAAGTGTGGCCATTTCGATTTTGAAATTTTTGAGTTTTTGATATAATATTTTTCTTTCCTTAGCGTCTATAAAAAAACAAGTCTTTGCTATACTTCGAGGTTGATTTGCTTTCCGAATCTAGCGTATAATTCGACCTTGAGTTGTTGCATCTCCTCGCGCACGGAGCCGATCTTGTCTTCTAGTTCGCTCGTCTCTTCGTCAATTTTCGTCGTAGCCGCTTCCAACATCTCTTGGGCTTGATCAAGTGGAATGTGAAAGAATGCATCGCCGATTTTGTACCTGCAGGGACATTGGTCCATAAGCGCATGAAAGTGACGGATGCGATGCGGGGGTTGGCATACTGAATCTTTTCATCTTCATCTGCTAGCTCCAACTCTGTCGACAGGTCATCATATTCCTCTTTCTCTTTCTAGACATTGCCCAGTCAGTCAGTGTCTCGCCGCTGGTCAGGTGGGCAGAGGGGGTCGGCTCTCCGCCAAGAAGTCCTCACATTCTTCAACTTGAGTTCCTCCTCCATGGCCAGTTCCCTCTGATGCAGCCGACTAAACTTGTTGATCTTATCCTGGTCTTCTCTGCGGACCTCGACTTCGTCTCCTGCCTGTTCGTCCTCCTTCGAGAGCTGGGCATATCGGTCAGTGGCACAATCGTCTCATGAAGCGGAACCATAAATTGCGACATTAGAAGTTCAACCGTACCATACGCCTCTGCATTATTGAAGCCATCGTAGACAACACGAACTAGCTCGACAGCCTCTCCGTTTCAACCGGATGTTGCCCGCAACGTTGGCCCCGCGACGAAAACCGTCGTTTATTGCGAGCGCCTTCTCTTGATGGTCATTCTTGTGGTGGGGGTACTGTGTGGCTTGGCAGCTTCGTCCGGAATTCACACAGTCTCGTCACTCTTCCCGATTGGCTGCCCCACACATCCCTTCTTTGCTTGTACGACTTTGCGCAGCCATACCAGCACACACGACGCGCAGTCCGTGGTTGAAAAGCAGCTCCCACGATATATTTGGACCGCGGCATCGCGTTAAATAAGAGTCTCAACCATGGCACTCGGTAAAAAAGCATATCCGCGGGCGACTGTTAAGAAGATCATAAAGGCGCACTCGAACATGAGTGTCAAGAAGAACGCAGACGTCACGGTGAGTAAGGCGTGCCATGACGATTCAACCTGCGTTACTAAGCGAATCTAGATATTCTTAAACTACGTCCTCTTCATGGAAACGTGCGCACAGCCGGCCTTTTTTTTGTGCTGCTGAAACTAACCGAGTTGGTAGACTCGTCAAAGAAGCGGCCATCTACGCCAAGCAGTCAGGCGAGCGCGGCTTGACAGCAAGGAGTGTAAACAAGGTGACCAGAGTATGTTCATAACTTGTTCAGCTCACATCCATCACCCCCCGCATGACTAACTATGATGCAGGATACACTGGCCAAGTTCAAGGGCTGAGAATTTCGCAGAGGATATCTGCATGGATTCTTGCTTCCCTGGTCCGATCTGGTAGGGCATAGCAAAGGGACGAAGTCGTGCAACAGACCAAGCAAACGGCGTTGCCTCGCAAGAATAATCGGCGACAAATACATAAATATGGACATGTGGTAGGCCAGGGTGTCACATCTGACACTGACATGGTACGTGACAGACAGCAGAGTAACTTACCGGATGCTTTGAAACATGCTAGTCCTTTGTATCCGTACCACAACTTGTCTGATGTCCGAAAGGTGGCCTACTGTGTTGGCGTTGGCAGTGCCGACTCATCAGCACCGAACGGAGGGGATGGAGCTGGACTGGATGAGGGGCCAAGGATAAGTAAGGATAGGCACGAGACCATGCATAATGGCAAACAACGGCTCGTCCCGCGAGTAAACATGTCAACCAGTCGTAAATCTGAATAATAATGACAAGGCTAATTGCGCTTGCATACGGTATTTCTCCTCCAGAATGAAATTGCGCCGCCATACCACAGTTTCAACATGGGCATTGGGCAGTGGTTCACAGACCAGTCAGTTCAATGTGTGATTCTCTCTGGTTCTAGAACCGAACACAAGAGGGCAGCTCATGAAGAGCTTCGCACCACAGGCGCCCCAGCGCTGCACAGGGGGCGGCGTTTGTGGTCCCGCAGCATCAGGCAGCCAACCTCCACACCCGTCAACGGTTGGATCACACCTACATGTGCACTGTCGACCCCGACTCTTCCTCCCTCTTGCTCTTTGCCTGACTATCAGCCGAATCCGATTTGCCATTCTTGTCTCCCAATCGCCTCTCCCCTGCCACACGGCATCCTTTCCGCTTTCAAATATCCAGCTACACATCCGGCATCGACCACAGTAGAGATATCGAAAGCTCGAGCATCGTTATCCACCAAGCCATCTAGAGCTTCCTTGCGACAACTTGACGATCCCCTTCCCATCTTCGCAGCGCACAAAATTTGTTAGATATGCCTGCAGCTGCAACTCAACCCGCCCCCAAGGGATCCAAGAAGAAGACCACTGGTGCTGCCAAGCGTCCTGAGTCGCCTGCTCCCAGCATTGCCGCTGCCGATTTGTTGGACGAGGATTTCGAGAGTGCTGACATCAGGGAGCTGCAAAAGTAAGGCTCTCTTCGGATGATGTGGGTGAGAAGCTGCAGTCCTAACAGTAAATTTCACAGGAGCATTCGTAATCTCAACAAGAAAATTGTAAGTTACACGTACTCTGTACTGTTCACATTTTGCTTAACGACCTTCCCTTCAGTTGGGCCATCCACCCATTTCGAAAACTGACGCGCCCTCTCCCAGACCAATGCCTCAAAGACCGATTCCATTTTGAGCCACGAAGATAACGCTGGCAAAACTCTTGAGCAATTGGTCATCTCAAAGGTCATCAACCCAGATCAAAGGGCACAGATCGAGAAGAAACCTGAGCTCCAGGCCCAGCTTGCTCGGGCCGAGGAGCAGCTCGCACAGCTTCGAAAGGTCCATGAACAATACCGTTCACGAGCCGCAAACGAAAAGGCTGAGTGGGAGAAGACGTTGGAGAAGGCCAAGGCAGACGCTGTCAGCGAAGCTGAGGCGAGCTTCCAAAAGTCCTTGAAGGATAAACTTCTTCTCTTATCGCAGTTTTTGCGCCTTGCTGCCTACCGCCGTGAGGAAGCTGCCGATGCCGAGTCGGACGAAAGCCAAGCTATCGAGGGTGTCCTCTTGGCAATCTACGCCGGAGACGACTCTGCCGTTGCATCAATGTTGAAGCTGGTGGAGGGTACTGAAGACAAGATTCTCAGCGTGCCAGGAGAGCAATTGCAGACTACTTGTAAGTACACCTGCCAATAGCTGCCCCTCTTCCTGTTTAGAGTAATACTATGTACTAACGCAATCTAGATTCTGTTGTCAAGACACTTGCTCAGGAATACAAGGCCCCCGTCTACAGTGAGGTGCCAGCCGAAGGAGAGACTGATGGGGTGGTCACTGACCCTACCGTGGCAAACGTCGCCGCCACTGAGATCGCAGGTACTGATGTCTCTGCTTCTCCTGGGGAGAAGAAGGTTGAGGCGAGCAATGGTCACCCTAATGCCAATGTGTCCGACAATGCCGCCAACGCCGTGGCTGAGAGTCACTGGTCCACCGAGGCCGGTCTCTCTACCTCGCAGGAGTGGGCAGATGTGAAAACCTCACGAGACCTTATCGAGACTGATACTGGCCTGACTGCCACGCCAGCCGTGTCTGGAAATACGCAGTCTTGGGCGGACGAGCAGCCCGAGCCTACTAAGCCTGTGAGTAAAAGCAAAATTTGAAAACTGCACGCCTGGTACAATAGAAACATCTAACGCCTGCTATAGTCTGATGGTAATGATGGATTCCATCAGGTCCAGCGTAACAAGGGTCGTCAGGAGCGTGAAGGAAATGGCAATTTGCGCGGTCGAGGTGGTCACCGTGGTGAGCACCGCGGCCGTGGCGGTCACCGCGGCGAAGGGCGCGGACGTGGTCGAGGTCGTGGTGGGATGTCCTCTCGCCCCCGACGAAACGAAGAGTCCTAGGCCAACATTCCAGGGAAAGTTAATTCGAAACCATAATGAGTATGCTTTACGGCGGCTCTCACAAGAAATGAACTGTACATCATGTCATGGCGGCGTTTAGCAGGTTTTTGGCTGGTTTTGGGGGAACAACACGGTGGGCTTTGGGAATCGCATTGCATTGCATCGCATCGCATGGCATCGCACTGATCATTCTGAGTGATTTGGCCTTTTCAGGTTGCATTCTGGAGGAATCGTGAGGTCTGGAGTGGGCGTTTAGCCCCCGGGTGGTGACTTCAAGATGTGGAGGCAAGGCAAGGAAGGAGGTTTGGCAGGGCTTGTATTAACAGAAAACAAATGTGTATGTATGGGAATATTACACGACGTCCATAATGATGGCGTAGTGACTGTTTTCCCGCTTGCTTGGTTATATTTGGACTCAACTGATAAGTGTGCCCTGTGGTGAAAGCTGTCAGGTTTCACATGCCCGCAACTGACAGATGGACTCGTACAGACCGTACAGTACTCCGCAGTTAATAATAATAGTTTTTCTTGAAGAAGGAGAGTGAAAAGCTAATTCTATAATAGTATGAGCTTGTAGAATAATCTGATAATAGAAAGGGCGCAAAGTTTTGGTATAAAAACGCAACTTGTACTTGACTTTTGTTAGGAAGCTGTGGGTGCGATGGTCGGTCCAATGTCCGTCAGCCTTGCCGGCCAATGGCGCCGGACTGGTGTGGGCAGCCTCTGAACTAACGCGCATTGGCGGGCTGATGGCTGCAACTTGTCCTCTTGGCCTCTTGGCCCACGAGTGACAAACAACCCTCTTCTCCAACTAACATGACACGGAAAGGCCACATCAACCTCTTCAAACCTGGAGTCTGGAATTGTTCAAGTAGCCGGGGCCATATATCTCGACCGGCTGCACAGAGCTAGCGGGCGTCTAAACCTTAGCTCCTCCTCTCCTTGAACTTAAACTCAATTTTATTTTTGTTTCGTCTTTTCCTTTTGGTATTTATACCCCCAGCGCATCCTCGTGCATGTTCTTTCATTGTCCAGCACAAAGTCACATCACTTGCACACGTCTTGATGCTCCTTTGACCGATAGCACGTCCCGCAACCACCCACCATGGCGAATTCGCGACCATCGCCTCTGACGATGCTCCTCGGAGCTGTCGTCTTCTTCTGTGCCAATGTCTTTGCGGCGGCTGCCGTCCTTGGTGTCGACCTTGGAACCGAATACATCAAAGCCGCCCTGGTGAAGCCAGGCACTCCCCTCGAGATTGTCCTGACCAAAGATTCCCGGCGAAAGGAGACCTCTGCAGTTGCATTCAAACCATTCCCGAGTGGCCCCAAGGCTGCCCAGTTCCCCGAACGACTATACGGTGCGGATGCCATGGCAGTCGCCGCTCGATTTCCCGACGAAGTTTACCCCAACCTGAAGACGCTCCTCGGCCTTCCCATCGAGGATGCATCGGTTAAAGAATATGCAGCACGTCACCCAGCTTTGCAGCTACAGGCTCATAGCACACGCGGCACAGCTGCTTTCAAAACCAAGACACTGACCCCCGAAGAAGATGCATGGCTGGTTGAAGAGCTGTTGGCCATGGAACTCCAGAACGTACAAAGAAACGCCGAGGCGACAGCCGGTCACGGCTCTTCTGTGCGATCCGTCGTACTCACTGTCCCCTCCTTTTACACTGTCGAGGAGAAGCGCGCTGTTCAACTGGCCGCCGAATTAGCAGGCCTCAAAGTCCTCAGCTTAATCAGCGATGGCATGGCTGTTGGCTTGAACTACGCTACTAGTCGCCAGTTCCCTAACATTAATGCAGGCGAGAAGCCCGAGTACCACATGATTTTCGACATGGGAGCCGGTTGTACCACAGCCTCTGTTCTACGCTTCCAAAGCCGTACTGTCAAAGATGTCGGGAAATACAACAAGACTGTCCAGGAGATCCAGGTCCTTGGTAGCGGCTGGGACAAGACCCTTGGTGGTGACTCCCTCAACTATCTGATCATGGATGATATCATTTCACAATTTGTTGAAACAGAGGCAGCAAAAAGCGTTTCTGCCACGGCCCAGGGTGTCCGGTCCCACGGACGGACAATGGCCAAGTTGGCCAAGGAAGCCGAGCGACTGCGACACGTTCTCAGCGCCAATCAAAACACTCAAGCTAGTTTTGAGGGGCTCTACGAGGATGTCGACTTCAAGTACAAGATCACCCGTGACAACTTTGAGACCATGTCTGGGGCTCACGCTGAGAGAGTTGAAGCCGTCATCAAAGACGCCATGAAGATGTCTGGTATCGAATTGAGCGACTTGACTTCCATCATCTTGCATGGAGGTGCCACTCGTACTCCGTTTGTTCAGAAGGCTCTTGAAAAAGCTGCTGGCTCTGCTGACAAAGTACGGCCCAGTGTTAACTCTGATGAAGCTGCCGTGTTTGGTGCCGGTTTCCGCGCCGCTGAGCTGAGCCCCAGCTTTCGAGTCAAGGAAATCAGGATCTTTGAAGGCCCCATGTACGCTGCCGGTCTGAAGCGTGCGAACGGCGAAAAGCGACAGCGTCTTTGGACCGCTGTCTCGCCTCTGGGAGGTGTCGCGAAGGAAATAACTTTTAACGACCACAAAGATTTTGCGCTTTCTTTCTACCAACAAGTTGGTGACAACGACAAGGATATCGCTTCATTGTTGACCAAGAACCTGACTGCTACTGTAGCCGCCATTAAGGAGAAGTACCCCTCCTGCGTGGAGTCTGAAATTGTGTTCAAGCTTGGTGTCAAGTTACTTGCCGAAAATGGAGAAATCCAGGTCGTCAGGGCTGCTGTAGAATGCGAGGCTGAAGTAACTGTGAAGGAACGTATTGTCGATGGCGTCAAAAACTTGTTTGGCTTTGGAAAGAAGGATCAGAAGCCTCTCAAAGGCACTGAGAAGAATGCCGATTCTAAAGAACCCGAGAGCTCTAAGGAGGCCCCGAAGGAGGGAGCCAAGCCATCTACCTCGTCTTCATCCACCACGACCGACTCATCTACCGCCTACAGTTCGTCCGAGTCGACTGCCCCCAGCGAGGAAGTCAGAGAGGTGAAGCAGAAACAGATTGTTTCAATTCCTGTTGAAGTCGTTTTGGAGAAGGCGGGCGTTCCTGCACTAACCAAGTCCGAGCTGGTCAAAGTCAAGAATAGACTCAAAGCATTCGCAGCCTCTGACAAGGCCAGATTCCAGCGCGAGGAGGCTCTCAACCAGCTTGAGGCCTACACTTATAAGGTCCGAGATCTCCTGGAGAGAGAGTCGTTCATCGAGGCCTCGACAGAGAAGGAACGCGCTGACTTGGCTAAACAATCCAGCGAAATCGGCGATTGGTTATATGAGGATGGAGCCGACGCTACTGCGGAGATATTCAAAGCTAAGCTGAAGACTCTTCAAGACATTGTTGTACCTGTACAGACCAGAATCGATGAGGCTGAAAAGCGACCTGGGAGGATCACTGCACTGAAGGAGTCCATGAAGCGCATTAGCGAGTACCTTGACTCCATACACAAGCAAATCGCAGAATATGAGCAGTGGGAGGCAACAGCTGCTTCCACCAGCGCCAGCGGATCATCAACGACATCTGCTTCGGCCGAGACTCCGACAGGCGAGTTTGATGGTCTAGAGGACGTCGACGCCAAGGACACCAAGAAGGACAATGAGCCCGAGGAGCAGCCTGGCCCCATCCCGCCTCTGTTTGACAAAGAGGAACTCAAGGACTTGGAAGCACTTGTCAAAACCACCAAAGAGTGGCTTAGTGAGATGCAGCCTAAACAAGACAAACTGCCCATGACTGCGGACCCTGTACTTCTTGTCAAGGACATTTCCGAGAAGATCCAAAAGCTTGACAAGGTCAGCATGGATCTAGCCCTCAAGGGAGCCAAAAGCTTTGGAGGCAAGGCCAAAAAGGCCGCGCAGAACCTCAAGAAGGGAAAGTCAAAGAAGGGCGAGGGCGCCGAAGATTTTAAGGGTCAGCGTCTCACAGAAGAGCAACTGGAAGAGATGTTGGAGAAAATCAAGGCCATGGAGAAGGAGAAGAAGCCTGAAAAGACTGAGGAGGATAAGAAGAGCAGCGAGAAACCAGGGCATGATGAGTTGTAGGGGATATTTTAAGTGGCTACGATTTGAGATGTATACATGTATCAAAAGCTGAGAAGCATATGAATAGACCATACGGCAGTATGTCATTAGGAAAAGTGGAGCTTTGCTCCTTAATTGTCAAGGGCTGTTAAAAGTCTTGATGTATTGAATAAAAACATCTGATAAGCCGTCTTGTTATAGCTGATGAGGTTAAGGACGGTTACCAAAACCCAACCTTGCGCCTGCTAGATCTTTTAACATGATGTATTGACCTGTTGATAAAAAAAGACGTACATACCATAATATATTGTAGTATTAATGAAATAATGAAAAAAAAAAAGGCTAGATCAAGGGCATGTAGTAACACTATATTTTGGCATATATTGTACTATTAATAAGTATATACTTGTATATCATAATATATTTATAACATACAAACGCGATAGCTATCCAGGTAGGCAGTCTGGTTAAATATCTGGGTACTCTCGCCTCCCACTGTAACTGTGTTTTTTGGTCTAGATAGTTGAGCCTTGCACTTGGCAGCTGCCACCAGCTGTGCTTCCACCCGTCTTCACTGGCCAGCTTCCTAGGTGCGTACCCAGGTAGTACCTAAGGTACTCAGTCCTTCCCCTTTTGCTACTTTTCCTGTTTGCCACCATTTACACTGTCTCGCCGATCATTCGAGTTTTAACATCCAGGAGAATGCGGACGGTTCTTGTTCTCTCGGCCGCTTTTGCCGCCCTGTCTCTCAGTGCTGCGGTGCCTTTTGAGGGTAAGAGACTGGACTACTTCTCGTTGGAGGCGAAGTCTCGGCCAGAGGGGAGAAGGGACTTCTTGAGCGACTGGGAAGCAGCTCATAATCGATGGGGGAAGACTAAATCTGTGCCGGGTTCCAACATGGCATTGGAGGGAGGTTGGTTCATCCCAGCTCTACAATACCATTCAGTGTGTAGGAAGGAGGATGGCTAACATTTTGGTAGAGGGACCTGTCACAGCCGAGCCCTTGAATAATGACCAAGCATACGTTACAGAAGTCGAGTTTGGAACGCCAGCTCAGAAGCTGAAGATGATACTGGATACTGGTTCCTCGGATGTGTAAGATACCAAGATGGGTCTCGAACGGAACAAAGTCACAGCCAGTTCATACTAACCGCCACAGTTGGGTCCAATCTTCAGATTCAGTATACCGCGTCAACGAAGATGGCCCCTGGGCGCCTCGATACCTGCCAAACAATTCCAGCACGTCCAGCCGCGTTGACAAGGCCGTCTGGGGCGTTCAATACTGTGAGTGCCGCATTGGCGGGCAACCTACACCTTGACAACATAGCTTACACTGACATGCAGTGGACGGAACCACGGCGACCGGCATCGTTTATCGTGACACACTCCGGTTGGGCGGCTTCGAAATCAAGCATGTCGCTATTGAATCGGCCCAGATCATGGCACCCCGGTTCGAACGGGAAACCAGTGTCAGCGGCATCATGGGGCTAGCAAAACAGCTCCCCAACAACATCACGCCTCCCACCCCGTCATTCCTCTCCGTACTGCGATCGCAGTTAAAGAAGCCGGTTTTCACAGTCGACCTGCGCCGAAACGCGCCCGGCCGCTTCGACTTTGGCTATATCAACGAATCCATGGCTGCAGACAACATCACATGGCTGGACTCAAACCCAGATAGCCCCCACTGGGACATTGAACTAGACCTCACCGCTTGGCGTGGTAAAAACCCAATGTGGATGTATCACAAGTTTCAGGCCACCGTCGACACCGGCACGTCTCTCTTGTTCTTGCCGGACCCCCTAGCCAGCCGATACTGGGCAGATGTCCCGGGTGTCCAGAGATCGGACCTGCTCTCAGGCGTATACAAATTCCCATGCGAGGGCGCTCAAGATCTCCCCGATCTCCTATTCAAGCTTCCAAAAACGGAACATGTTATTCGTATACCAGGCCCATATCTCAACTACGGTCCGCTCGACACAGAACCCTCCCTCTGCTGGGGCGGCATGCAAAGCGCCAAAGACATGGACGTGACTGTTCTGGGCGACGTGATGCTCAAAGCGATTTTCGTTGTCTTTGATGTTGACAAGAACAGAATTGGGTTAGCTAATAAGATTCTTTACGATGCAAAGATGACGCATACAGTGGGAGGAAGCAAGTATTTAACTTTCTAGGTACCTACTAGGTCCTAGGTAGGTAGATTAGACAGCTACTAAATAGAGCCATCACTCCATACCACAATACACTCATTGTATTCTGTTACAGTACCAGGCAAAAAGTATTGCCCTAAATTAAGTCCTGTCTATTGCGCTCTATAGTATAATATATATAATATATTGTAGTGTATACTTTTTAGTAGGTAAAGTGTACTCTGCTATAGATTGTACGTGGCTATTATCCAGTGTTTTTTCCCTCTTGATTTTTTCTGGGAATTATCGGGCTATGGCGGATAGGCCCGAGAATGAGTTAGCTTCCCACTATGATGAACAATGCCACGGGAACTTCTGTGCAACTAGGAATTCCTGGAAAAGGCGAACGTGGCAGGCAGGCAAGACAGTCCAATAGGCTACTTCTCATCAAAGCATACATCAAGGTGGGCGAAACGAGGCCTGCACATGGCACGCCAAAATCTCTGAGCACGGACGAGAATGGACAAGGGAAATGGACATTGAAGCACAGCCACCATCCTGGTCTGATATTACAAGTTCTAAAGTCATTGGCTCGCACCGACCAAGCTGAGAAGCATCAATTGCCGCATCTTTGCCACCGCTCCAGCAGAGCCCTTGCCATGTTTCCCAATCTCTTCCCCGTCGCATCGTTGAGCCTTCCTCAATGCTCCCAGTGTCTCCTTGTCGCACCAAGAAAACAAGGTCTTAAAAAAAAACAAGGATCCCCAACTAGATATTAAAAAGACTTGTAATGGCCATGGTTGTGCGAGTGGTATAGGCCTGCCGATACGCGTAGGCGAACCAGTAAGAGTAACTCATATCTCGAGAGAAAGTTGATTTTATAATAAAAAGAAACGAGTACAGTGAATCGGGTATCTGGTGTTTCCAGATAGTTCCACGGGAATAATAAGTGTCGTTGAAGCCGTTAAAACGCCGGGAATAATTTCGTCCAGAACGAGTGACGAAGTAAATAAAAAAACATATTGATCAGGGAGCAGTGACATAACAGGTGTGCATCCGTGGTCTCCCTACCCATGCATAAAAAGTAGAATGTGAAGCGTGTGGCCCTCGGCATGACCCCGCCCAAGACGAGGCGGGGCCTCCATGTGGCTCGGTGAAGATGAGGCTCATGATGCAGTCACCTCCTGAAATCATGAGGCGGTATTTCGTTCGTGGCTGACTGTGTGCCCGGAAACAAAGAAGCGACCCGCCCCCCTTGACGAAAAGCTACATAGCTTGGCAAGCACCAAAGTACACGGACCGAGAGTGTTGTTTACTGTTCGGCATCACCGTCTGTCATCGAGGCCAAAAGAGGAGCAAGTCAGCGAGGGGAGTCGTCCAAATCAGCCTGGGTCACGAGATAATAATCACCTTCGCTGGCCCCAGGCGTTGGGGGCATGTTGCCAGAACTGGGTGCTTGCTGGGGGGCGCGAGCCGTACCTGGTCGCGACTTGTTTTCACCCTTTGAGGGTGCAGGCGGAGCAACTTTTGAGGACTGTTGAGATCGCTGAGCAGGATTACCACTCTGGTTGCGACGGAGCCGTTCCTCCATGTCGCGGATACGGGCCTCGAGGTCGGCAAGCTCCTGGTTATTTTTGCCCACGGTTTCGCGTCTGAATGCCCAGGGGCGTCAGGTTCTGCAGGTGGGGCGATGAGGGGGTTATATAAAGGAACGTAGAATGACGAACCTTTCAGAAACTTGCTGATCAAGGTCAGAGACGGAGTTGTCGATGCGGAAGATGTCCATCAGCTCTTGGGAGAAGGAGCGGGCCACAGTCCTAAAACAAATAATGGCTTGTTAGCTCTCATGTGAGAAGGGTGGGACAGAATAGGGGAGCTTGCATGGTTGCTCGCTGCCCCTTATCAAATGCGGCCGTGCCAATTCAGCTTGGGGAGAAGGGCATTGGCCAAAGGAGAGGGTACGAAAAGACGTACGATAGTGGTCGGCGTCCGTTGGGGACCCAGTCGCGATCGAGCTCAGCGTCAGTCATTGTGATGATGGGGTAGTTTGTGGTTGCTATGTACAGTTGGTGCTGGTGATGCTGGCGAGGGTCGAGCCGGTGTGGTACAAGTGCGGTGTAGTTCAAAACGATGAGCGGTCAACGGGTCTTGGTAGCGGCAGCGGTAGCGGCAGCAGTAGCAATAAAAAAAGCGGCAACGCTGGGATATAACGGTGTACAGTAGAAGATGGGGGAATTGGAAATGGGAAATTGGGGATAAGAGGCGAGCAAGAGGCGAAGGAGATATAAGATTTGGCGAAGGCGGAAGCTAGGAAGAAGGAAGAGGGAAGACGGGAGGCAGACTGGGCAAGACTAAACAAGATTGGACAAGAATGGACAAGAATGGACGAGACTGGCACGGGGGGCGTAACGATTGATGTGGAGTGGAATAACCTGGAAGGCAGGAGGGGATCCAGAGCAACAGCGCAGCAAAGCAACAGACACTGTGGGCAGTGAGAGCCCGCGTTCTCGGTTTGTTACCGGCACTGGGACATCTGGCGGGGGCAGCATTGAAAGCCAGGGGTGATATGGAGCCCAGTGCGAGCCCAGTGCGAGTCCGCGTAAGCTTCACCCAGAGTCATGAATGACTGCATCTCATGCCCCCGTCAGCCGCCAGCCGCAGCTCTGTCTGGGTGCCCAAATGCTCAAAATACCAACGCCAAATGCCAAATGCTGGGTCGGGTGCTCTGTCCTGTCAAGCGTCTCCCGTGTGCGCTCTCCCCCTTCTGGACAGGTCGATCCAAGGGGTGGCAGACTAACAGGAACTAACAAGATTTGCGTAGCTTCAAATCAAAAGCTGCAAACGAAGGGATGGCGCGGAAGTACGGGATACAACGTGTTCGAATGCAGATGTGTAATCGGCAGTACGTACGGAGTACACAGCACTGTATGTACGCGCCGCCAATCAATCAGATGGACACCCGAATGCCAAGCCGTGCCTGGGAATATGTATGTATTCACAGTACGGAGTACGGAGTAGTGATTAATCAAAGCGCCAACTGGTCGCTGGAAGCATCGCTCAGCCTTGACATTGATCTTCCATCTGCCGTCATTCATGCACGACCGCCGTTGCGGCGCTGCCCTACCTTCAGGAACCGGAAACCGCAGCGCCAACCCAGATCAATTGATGCCGCAGGACTGGACGGTGGGGTCTCAGCGGGGTAGTTGACGGGGCGGCGCATAGCTTGACGGGCCGCAATCTCGAAATCCCGCTAGCCAGGCGCTGCACGCTGCCACTCCAACCACGCATGACAGGCAGCCGCGCCCTGGCCAGCCTCCTGCAATACCACCTCCTACACATCACGTCTCTGCCATCCAACATTGGGGCGCTATACACAGCTAGCCCCTACGGGGTCAAGACAAGACGGCATTCACGCTTTTTTATGTCAGAAAGCCCAGTGAATGAATACCTCTGCGTGACATCCGACAAAGCGGCACAAGGCCCTCGCATTGCATCCAAGACAACGTTCACCCCGTGAGCCTCAATACATCGCCACACATGTGTACATACTACTACTCAGTACTCCGTACGTGCCGGTAGGTACAATATAGTACTGGCATGTACCTGTATCGGCTCTTTTCGTCTCATTACCGTGCCGCAACGGACGTCGTGCAACTGACTGACCAACACAGGGGAACCGAACTGATGACGTGTGGGCCAACCTAGCCCTAGTCCCTCCCCCCTTATGTACCGTCAAGTACTTTTGGTCCCTTGTCCACCCCGGGCCATAATTAGACCCTCATACATTGCTGCACGATCAGGTACCGATCTGTCCGACTTTCAACTTCCAACTGCGTCATGGCAACATGACCATGTCATGTTGCAATCAACTGACACACCTTCATTTTGTCACATTGTCACCGTATCATCATGGCCTTGACGCGTCAGGGCTTTCTCCATTGTCATCTATTGCCTCCCATTAGAAGTCCTAATGACACCAGAGATAAATTATGGGCGCTTTGCATGATCCAAAAATAAAAACATAAAAAAGCCAGCGCTGGTGGCATACCTAGGTAGGCATAGGATTTGAATTCGAATGCCTCCCAACCCTTCGGGAGGCGGGTATATCGTTGTATGTTCCTGGAAAAAGACCCAAGCGTACCATAATCCAAAATATGCAAGCCAAAATTCGCCCGAGAATGACGTCCCATACCGTCATTTGCTGGCCCGAGCCGTTGCCGCCGATATTCCAAGACGCGCCTCATGACGTGAGCTCGAGGCTACCTGCCAACTTTACCCGACCGATGTATTTCAAAAAACCAACATGTTTTTATCCTTGATCCGCCTCTAATCATAAACCAAGTGAAGAACGACACAAGGTAATAGCAGATACCTTCTCACTTTTCACCTTTCCAAAACATCTTTCATTTATAAGCCACCGGAAAGAAAACAAAAAAGAAAAAGAAAAGACAAAACACGGAGTCGACCTGCCCATGCTATGTAGTGGTAGGTTTTGGCTCAGCTCGCCCAATGGGCGCAGTAATCCAAGTCATCTGCGGTCGGGTCCCATTCATGTCGTTTGTGGCGTCAATGGACTACTAGACTTGTATCAATCTGCGGTTCACAAAGTCGCGTGGTCCGTGATTTACCTGTCGCTGACTGGCCAGTTGAAATTTTGTTTTTCGCAATCATATTGCCCCTCAACCCACTTCTTGATATTCTCCACGTTCCACCCACTCATGTATCGCTTAGAGTCGTCGTCGCCCTTTTTGGCAGGTTTGCCGTGCTTGATTTTGTGGGAAAGTCCACAAATGTTGTTCTGGTAGCGGAATTGGAAGCAGTTGACCATGCTCAGACAGGCCTTCTTGCAGTCGTCGAAACTCTTGTAGGCATCAGCTTCTGCGTCTGACAGATTTTCAGTCTTGGCTTTGGTCAATTCCCACTCGTCGTACTCGGCCCGAGTGCTGTTAAGGTAGTACACATCCTCACTCAGATTGTCCCAGTCTGGTCGTGCCTCCACCAGCTCCGGGCTCATAAACTTGTGATACAGGTCCTTGAATCGCAACATCTTCTTGAACTTGCGCTCTTTTTCGAAAGCGTACAGGTCAGAGATGTCCTCGGCACCGACGTGATGCATGGTGACAATGGGTTGGCACCACTCGTCTTCGGCATATGGAATGGTGTGTGGTTTCTCCCCATTGATAACAGGCCACTGAGACACGTTAGCAATTGTTGCACGATACATGTAAACCTAGGCCTGTCAGTCTCGGGATGCTTACGGCATTGACGACCGAAATACCAGTTTCGTCCTTCAAAGCCTTTGACCACATGTAGTCACCACAGCAGGTGTATTGAACCGGCTCGTCGTACTTATTCGCAACACCGGTTTTGCCGTGAAACATGGAGTACATAGTACGCCTGGACACGAGATAGCCGCTACCACCATGACCAAATGGAAAATTGCCAAGATAGGCGACGCTGCCAATGTAATGCGGCTTGTTGGGATTCATGTGCTTCAGCCACTCCATCAACGTAGGAAAGACAACATAGGTATCAGCGTCGACAAACAGATACCAGTCGTAGTTGGGCCGCATTTCGTATGCCTTTTCCGCCATGTGAATATTCTTATACTTGTCTAGGCTCCATCCTTGCTGAGCCACATCATGGTTCTTGTTGCACTGCTCCTGGTCGACGGGACATTTCTTCTGTCGGTGATAGAGGTCGAAATCCTTGTTCTTTTCTTTGACTTCGTCCAGCACGGTGTCGAGACTGTCATGGATGGTGTAGCCCGCAATCTTTTGAGCCATGTCGCTGAAGAAAAGAAAGTCGGGTACGCATTTTAGGTTGGTCAAAAGTTGGGTAGGAATTTTGGAATAGGATTCGGAGGCGCCAGTCTTCATGATGAGCAAGACACTCGAAGTGTTGGGGAACAGCGCACATTCGTCGTCGAGCCCAGGAGATTGGAGGTCCTGCCCGACGTACTGAACCCCATCATGAGCCTTGTCGCCTGTAAGCTTGCTATCGGATGCGCCGTCGTTTCCAAACTTGGGCAGCTTTTCTCGCAAGCCGTAGATGTCGCAATAGCGGCCGTCACATAACGGACCTAGTTGTTTCGATGTGAGCATCACCACCGACATAAACGCACAGAACACCATCACAAAAAGAATAGCCCTTCTCGAGCGAAGTCTGGTGGATGCCATTCTGCCGACGACTGGTGAAGGCCAAGCTTGCTTGTCCCAAAGACCCAACATGATACGAAAGAGCCGAGGGAAGAAAAGATACTCGGGGCCGTCCGAGTTTAAAGCAACCGAGGTTCCGAGCAAAAGAGAAAGAGGGTGAGTAATAAATAATAATAATGCTAATGAAACAAAGAAAGATGCAAAGACAAAGATCTCGAAGATACACAGTCGAAGTCTCAACGGATTCGATCCTGTGTTCGGACTAATCGCAGTACTTGAGGAGCTGGCAGGCCTTCGGAATGGCCCAATGAACGAATGTAAAGGCAACGTGGAACTTAATCAGACCTTGGATTCTCCAGCTTCTTCCACGCGAGCAAGCACAGACGAGAGGGCAGAGTTGATACTCTTTAAGCCCAGGCCAGGAAAAGAGGACGAAGAAAATCCGAGCAAAGGTTGGGATGAGAAAAAAGAAAAGAAGTCGAAGGAGGTGCTTGAGGCATAAAGGGAAAAGCAAACGAAACACACCCCAACACAATGGACACAGAACAACTTGGCTTCGGACTTGCTACTGCGTGGGTAGGTAGGTACGTACGTACTTGGGGAGTAGACTAGCTGCGCAGCAAAAGCCCCAAATGCCAGTCGACGCCATTTCAAAGACGAGATCCGTGGCCTTGGTGGCTAGCCGAAGACTACTTAAGTACTTAGGTAGGCGGTGCCATACGAGTGAGGAGGGTACTTGCTTCTGGCAGGAGAACGAGGCAGCGACTCAGCTGTGCAGAATCGTACAACAAAACTAGGATACACAATACAGAAAGACCCCGGCTGTCCCGCAGACCCGCTTGATGGGAACATGGTGAACTCCTTTTTTTTAAACCTCTCATCGCGCACTAGTGACGAGTCAAGCAAGCAGAGAGGGTGTTCAGGCTCACCAGGTCCTTGACGAGGTAAGGGCCATGTCTCGGCAAGGGTCCTCGTCTTTCCATGGTCTCGGACTCTATTTGAGACCGTTCAACCAAGTACATACGCGACACGAGGTACGAGTGGCCATTGACGAGGTGGCGGCGGCGGTGATGGCGTCAAGTGCCATCCGGCAGCATTGAACATGACGGGCTGGGCTTTAATACTCGGCGCTCTGTACAGCTGCTAGGTACACTGGCAAGCTGGCCAGGTTTGCGCATGCTGGGTAGCAGGAAAAAGCCAAGGCTGTTCCTCCGGCTTGGGCTTCTACATTAACAAGATTGAAGGCAAAGCATTGACCTTTCCCCCTGGGGCTGGCAAACAGGAAAATGTCAAGGTTCAAACGTCGGCTTCAACACGTCGGGCGTAGTCGACATGGACCCGCACAAGTGCCCAGGCGCCCACAAGCGCCCACAGCCCGGTGCCGGTCGAGCCCGCTCGGCTTCAATGTTCGCGTCAATATTCCCAGGTGCTCCCCGTCTGGTGTCGGTCAAGTACCAGACAAGTGGCCAAGCAGTGGTCAAGCGAGTTGCGCCCGACAGAAGTGGACCAGACTCTTGCCCGCACGGCATCTGCTGCGATAGGTACGGAGTATGTTTGTGAGGTAAGCTACCGATCAGTTAGTTACGGGGCACGTTTTCCAACATGGAAATTGTAAAACTTCCAAGGCTGCCTCAGCCCCGACAAACTCTCTCTTATATTCCGCCCTCCTGACAAGCTGTTGGCTGTCTGCATGCATCTGCATGGCCTCGCCCGTGCCTGCTCACTGTGGCACTAGCGCCCACCACGCTCGGTCGGGACGTCTTAGGCTATCAGTTTGGTTGATTACCAGCACCAGGCTACCATTCCACCATTCCAATGTTAGCTCTGGTGTCGGGGCCACGGGCAATCCTGACAATGTATGTACTGTATTGACACGTTATTGCTTCACTACTTAAGTAGGTATGTAGCATCCGCATCAACCCTGTCATTGTCTCACCGTCACCTGCTCACACTGCCAGTCTCTGTTACAGGAAACCACCATAACCCCGTAACATGGATGGCCGCCGAAAACAGCCAGCACCCAACATTGAAAGCACCCGAGCAGTCATGCGCAACACGAGACGCGGCGCAGGCCAGTTGACGGCTTCGCTTAGCCGCGGTGCCGAGTATCCCTCCTCCGCGAGCTAAAAGCGGTAGAATGCAGCCCTGCAGACGCCTTTTGCACCGCAGAAGAGTGCCATCTTCTTCGACGAACCAATGCGGCTATACACCGCAGTAACAAGTATGTATCGCTGATCAGGGTGGCTCGACCCACGGATCCTGAGCAATGGCGCTGTGGGCCTCAGGGCAGAGATTCAACTTGGCCTTTCAAAGGGTCCAACGGTTCTTTCAAGAAGTTGAGCCAAGCCTCGGCCCCCCATGGGTTGGATCGTCCAGATCGTCATTAAATGTGGCTTCCCGGGCCTATCATTACTGATAGTATACATACTACTACGTACTATAGTTTGTCGTGGCTACTTGATTCAGGTTAGTCCCGTCAGCAAGTCCGGCCCTGCCAGGCACCGGAAGCTTTTGATTAAGATAATTGACATTTTAGTGTTTGCTCTCGACGACCCAATCATAGCGTGTCACCCGCCCACGAGTTTCAAAAACGCCATCTGGAGCCGTCTCAGAGTTCATCTTTTGCAGAGCCGTCACGGTGCCCTGTCCAGGGCTGAACTGCTCCCTGCGAAATCGCCGTAATAAAGTTTTCAACCTCTTCAGCCCCAATATCACCACCTGAGCCGCGGTATGGGAAGAGCTGGCCGCCGTGTGTGTGTTCCACCACGAGACCTCTCTTCGATTCCAGGCCCATGCCGCGCGACATGTCGGCATATTCGGTACTGTCAACTGTCACAAACCTTAAATATTCTTGGTATGTCCCGGCAAGCGGCTTCATCCTCTTCACATACAAGTCTCGGTCGGACTCTTCGCCAGTAAAATAGTACACCAACGACCTCCCTGGCTATGATATTCCAAGTTAGCACCCATATCCCAATACAGAGAGTTGGCGTTTGGCGGCTCACCTGTCTGTACTTGAGCTCTGTCCTCCGCGTCAATTGCGGAATCAATAGTTCCGTGCAAGTCTCGAGAAATCGTTCGATAACCCCGCTTTGGTCCAGTCCTGCCTCTGAGCGCTCCAGATTGTCAATGTTGTTGTAGCATGTTAATCTGCTTGCGTCTCGTTGCCCAACGTCGGTCAAATACCCGAATGAGTAGCGATCTCTATACGCTTCGGCGGTTGCGGAGAATCGACTGAGCAATTCCTTGTCGTCTTTGTGCAAGTGCGTTATGAAAACGAAGTCGTCTGTAGTAGTAAACCTTTCTATTTGATCCTTGCTCAATTTGGTGCATGCAGGTTGCTGCTGTCGTGCGAAGAAGGACATGAGGCTAAAAGCAGCTTAGTCGTTGAGGATGAGAGCCTAATAACAGCTCGGAGAACACTCACGACGAGGCTGTACGTGGTCCACGATATCGGACCATTGGTTGGTCTCCACGATACAGACGAATAGCAGGGAACGAGACGACGTCGAAGTCGGCGCACAAGTCTTGTGAGGCAATACAATCGATCGACTTGGCTGCGATTTTATCTTGGAGGGCAGTCCATTCTGGTAATAGAGCCTTGCTAGACTCGCTGGACGATCTCAATTACCATCAGATGAAGTCTTGGGTTGATTCTCAACATACTGGTCAGGCTATTTGACGTGATTCGATCGTCAGCTTGAGTTATTATGCGATGATGTATGTGCATCCACTCACCACGACAACTACCATAATGTTAACGGGACTTTTTTTTCCTCCTTTTTTCAATGGTTTTGCTTTTCCGTTTAATGCTTACAGGCAACCAAAGTATCGTCCTTCTTCGCCAACAAACTTTTCAGCTCCTTTGCACTACTGTGGCTCCAAGCCAGTGCCTGGCATGCCAGCAACGTCATTGCCGAAAATTGGGACCTCATGGTGGCTTCATATATCGTTTTTTGTCTGGTAGGATGAAATTGCCTTCATGTTACCTCGGGAAACCTCCCGTACTTTATAACAATTGAAGCTCACGTAGGATGAGGGGCACCCGAATTCTGTGACGCACCCATGTAGCGGAGGCGTCGATGAAGCCTGAGCCGCGACTCGAGATGTACCATTGTTTCAAGTGCCCCTGGCTTGACGCTGAAGTAAATAAATGTTGCAGACAGTCATGTTCAGCACGGTTGTAAAGGATTTTGATGTCCAAACATGTTCAAGTTGAGAAAAACCAACATGTCCTGCAAAGGTCTCGCCTACAGCGCCATACTACTCATGCTCGCGCTGCTCACCCATGGCGAAACCCAAACTCGTCTCTCCAACGAATTTGAATGTGTGCATCCGCCGTATAAAGTCTATGTTGCCAGCAAATCCCCACTGGTCATGTACCTCGAGGGCTTCATTACGCCCGAAGAACGGAGACATCTTTTAGAGTTGGCGTACGGGTTTGCTCCTTCTGCAACACCATCTCGTTATATCCCCCATCATGACGCGACATACTGACGCCAACAGCAACGGCACCTTCAAACACTCGTACGTAACCAGCGATTCCTCGCAGACCATCCACGCCGTCCGCACCTCTCAATCGACATCTGTCCACCGCTCCCCGACTGTCCGTTGTATCGAACGCCGCGCGCTTGACCTCCAAGGCCTCGACATGCCAGTCTCCAACATGGAACCCATCCAGCTTGTGAAATACGCGCCGACGGAGCGATATCACTTCCACACGGATTGGTTCACGGACGCCCGGCATGCAGTTGCTTCGCTGGGCGGCAACAGGGCCTCCTCCATCTTTGGATACATCAAGGCGAAGGGTGTGGTTGGTGGCGGAACGAATTTCCCATTCCTGGCTGCCAAGAGCGGCGAGTGGTGTAAATTTGTAGATTGCGATGAGGAGTATGAGAAGGGCGTGACGTTTAGGCCGGTGGAGGGCAACGCGGTCTTTTGGGAGAACATGGTTTCTGGGAGGGGGGATGAACGGGTTTTGCACGCTGGTTTGCCGGTAGTGCGGGGGGAGAAGGTCGGGATGAATATTTGGGTTCGGGAGGGAAAGGTGCCGGATGAGCTGAGGGGATCGTGATTGTACGTTGTTTGGTGAGGAGAGGGGTATCGACATGCTTGTGATGATTGTTGTGTGACGGGCAGAGCCGGCAGGTGGGTTGCAATTCTAACAGGATGACCGGGATTCGGTTGTGGCTTTTTTTCTTTTTCTTTTATTGCATTATACGGTTGGTGTTGGGTTGTTGGGGATATGTGTGGTTTTCTCCATGTTTCACGGATATACGCTGGCAATGATAATGAGCTCATAACCAAATATTTATGTGCATGTAGTTGAGAAATCGGCCTTTGTAAAGCACCGAGTATGAGTTATAAACTAGACTAGCTGGGCAGCCTAAAGTCATTTATGCAATAATAGTGAGACTTCTTGGAATAGCTGGGTTGACTCGGTGCATTCGAGAATACCAAGACGATGGGCTGCTACCTGCCTGTTTGCTTATTGCTTTTTTTTTAATGATAATATACTACTTAGTTTAAGTAGCGTGATACTTGTACTATATTATAGAAGATGAGTAACCTCTCCATAACCCTAAGGCTTGCATAAGAGTAATGAATAAAAAAGACTAAAAAAACTGCGTGGTTCGTATAAATCTCCTAAGGTCTGTTTGGGACATAAGTTATCGAGTCAACTACCTGCATCACAACCACAAAGCAAAAGCAAGTCACGAACGGGAAAAGAAGAGGACACCTGGCTATGCAATCATAGCAATTTCCATGTTAAAAAAGGGAAAAAAAAAGACGAAGAAAAAAAACCAAGAAATATCCGCATCAACATAAGGCACCCGCTTCATTTCACCATTCACCACCCACCCTATACACGTGACCACGCGTCCAAAACCCCACCAAACAGCCAGCAAATCGGCCATGAAACACGCGCAAATAAAAAAAAAAAGAGGGTGGTCCAGCCCTCCAATCCCGATAGCGCCTGGCACCCAGCGGTAGTGGTGGTGTGGCTTCCCCTTCCGTAACGAGCTCCAAGCGGCATAATAGTCATGGACATTGCGCGTGGCTCGCGTCGAGCCCGTCACGTAGCCGCCAATGCCAATGCCAATGCCAATGCCGCTGCCACGTCGGAAGAAGATGTGGACGGCGGACGGCGGCAGGAACAACCACCACGACCACGTCCGCGCGACTTTGCCGCGCGAGCCATCACCACACCCGGGACGACCGTGGTACATGCCGCGCAAACGCCGGATCTGCAGTACGAACCGGATTCAGACTCGACGGGGAGAGGAGAGGCCCCGCCGCCGGTTGTGAGGAGGCAGCAGGCCACGCCGAATTATTCGCATCGGACGCCGGAGCAGCTTGGCGACCAAAGGAGCCAAGGCGGTTTGCAGACGGGCGTGGCGGGACCGGCGCCGCATCCGTTCCGGCTGCATTGGAGTGAGTCTGCCTTTTATTTTCGTCTTTTGGGCTCTTGACATGTGTTGGTGGCTTTTGGTTTCGAGCAAGGATGGAGGGCTACAAGTCATGGGGATGTGGCGAGGCCTTCACTCTTTGGACTCGGCTGTTTCCCCTGGGTTTACGTCGAGCAGTGTTGATGATTTTGTGGCAAGTGTAAAACAATGGGCTGGTCTTGTTGCACTTGACGAGCTGTGGTTCTGACCGGTGCTGGTTTCACGGCCACTGGGCCCTGCTTACTGGTAGCTCTGTTTGAACCCTGATGCCATGTTTTCAGCAAGAGCATCTCTTTGCAACGCTCATCGCTGCGGGCCAGACCAAGCGCAAGGTCTCAACGAAGATGCCCTTCAGAAGAAATACCTGCCTATCCACCAGGAAAACACCTTCGGCCTCGGCCGTCTCCCCTCTCTTGTTCGCAGACCAAACGAACCTCGGGGCACGGCATCACGCTCTCGAACATCGCAACCCACTCCCCCAAACCCTTCTCGCGCCCAGCCTACAACACTAGAGCCAACTATCCCCAGAATCTTGTCTGAAATCATCAACAAAAAGCCCCAAGACTGCAAACCTTCTAACTACCTGAACAGCGGCGCAATCCGCCAGCCCCCGGCTCAGCATGCCCTACGACTCAGATGAATCCAGCTCCGAGCCAGACCTAAGCGTCCTGGCCCTGGCCCGGGGCCGCCAGCCCATGACAGACCAGATACGTCCCATGAACAACAATATGGCGTACGACGACGAGATCTTGTCGCAGGAACAGTACGAGGCCGAAGACACCAGCCTCGAAGAACAAGCAGACGAGGAGTCGTCGGAAGAAGAGCCAGAAGAAGCCGTCAGCCTGGTCGACCCTGTAGCCCTTGGACTCAAGGAGATTTCCAACCTCGGCAGGTTCACCGTGAGCAGCCACAAGCCAGGAAACGGGGTGGAAGAGCTGCGAAGCGATGATCTCAAGCTGTACTGGCAGTACGTCTTGGCACCAAATATTCGAAACCCCCTCCCGAAATCCCCCCGTTGTCATGAATTGCACAAAACAAACAACACAGAGTTCAGACTCACAATGTCCGCGTATTAGGTCAGACGGGCCCCAGCCGCACAAGTTGACAGTCTACTTTGTCAAGCGCGTCGGCATCCGCGACATCCGCTTCTTCGTCGACTACAGCGAGGACGAGTCCTACACGCCCACCAAGATCGTCTTCAAGTCGGGCACCAGCGAGAACAACCTCATCGAGTTCGCCACCATGGCCATGGAGAGCCCCGTGGGGTGGCAGCAGGTGCCTATTGCCGGGGCGGGCGGCGACCCGGACGGCAACACGCTCGTCTCGTACGTCCTGCAGATGCAGATCCTGGAGAACCACCAGAACGGCAAGGACACGCACCTGCGGGGGATCAAGATATACGCGTTTGATGCGGATGCCGCCCAAGGAGCGGGGAGGGAGGCGGCCGTCGCCGCCGAGGAGGAGGGTGCGACGAGCGCGTTTGCCACGGCGGACAAGCTGGGCGACATTGTGAGGGATTTGGCGGCGGCGAGGCTGGAAGGTGGTGAGGCTGGGTTCTCGATTCCGGATTTCATGAGAGAGCCCGAGATTCGGTGAGTAGCTGTCGAAATAGCTCCAAATGTGACGGAGGCTCGTGCGGGTATGGGACTTGCGTGATGCTGCTTTGCTCTGTAGACTTGTGACTGTCGAGGCCAAGGAGGCGATATCCGAAAAAAAGGGGGCCTTTCATCGCGGTTCATGGTGGGAAGTATAGGTGGCTTTACGAGTACTGGCATTTGGGATGATGAAACGTTTTACATGGTATGCTCCTAATCTGTGCCTAGCACATCTACATAATAGGCAAGAGACGAGTTTGTTTGCTACACCTTCATTTCGCATCCATGGGTGCATCTGTCAAAAGGCAGTGCAAGCGCACGGCCACGGGGGCTGGCAATACACATGCCCAGGGTAACCATCATATCTAAGCCACCTTGGCGAGGAGTCACACAACAAAGGAATTTCGGCCGAGCCATACAGAAAGGTAATACCCGACGCATCTAAGCCCACGGTTCGATGCTAAAACGGCTAGAATTGTTTTTTTAAGCGCTAAATTTCCCCAGTACAGCCTTTCGAGGACATTTCTACGTGAAAAATGTTGGTTTAAGACGGAGTTCTATCGCCTCGGCGCTACGGCTCGAAAAGGATGACAACTTACACTGCCTTGTGGAGCGGTGGTGTATATGGACACAAGAGTTTAAGTGCAAACACTGACGGTATAGTGTCTCCTGAGGGAGGCTCGACTTTGGTACTTGAAGGCTCAACGAAATCTAGAGAGCAGTACTCTCACTTCCCCATTGGGTCGTGCCATGGCCTAGAAGATCTTAGGAACGTACAGTTGAAGCCGACATTCGCCACCGAGACGCAAGGTTGTCATGTGGGGTGCTAAATGAAGAAGGCTTCCAGAAGCCATCTGACCAAATCGACCCGCACGATGACACTTCGGAGACTTCCAAAACGGGCGTAACCTAAGATTTCACACAAAGCCATGCATACACAGGTGCCTAGGTACCTAGGTTGGAGAATCACGTATTTGGATACGTAGAAACCTCTGAGCGACCTCTTGGGCCGTCCTATACCTATGGCTTCGGACAAGCCTTTGTGGACGATGCCAGAGTTGGAGCGAAAGGGAAACGGCGTCGAGGCTTGTCGAAAAACGAATAGTTAGCTAGTACTCCGTATTTGCACGGACTAATTCCGAATATTCTTTGTTTGCTTGCTCGGGGTTGAGCCTCAGTATTGACTGGTTGATCAGGTAGGTGCCCTGTAATAGTTAGTGGAGGAAAGTGCATGCCCGTCATTGGGACGTTGTGGAAGTAGCCTGGCGGAAACGATGTCGCAATGAAGCCTAGGCGTATTCGCAAGGTTGTGTATTATGGTGGTTCTCCAAGGAACCGGGCGAACTCATCGCCCAAGGTGACGAGGGAGACGGGCATCGGCACCTTCAAACAAGCCGCCGCCCTTCAAGGTTTGGCGGGTGAGTACAACATGTACAACGGCTAAATGGCTTCCGTTGTGCTAGGTCAACAACTAATGCGACACTTTGGCCGTCGCGAAACCAGAACGCTCAGGGATTGCAAGTTGGGCGCACCGTCATTTTTTCCGCCATTCTCCGCATGCTTAAAAGCAGACTCCTTGTGGAAAGCGTACTCCGTAGAGAGGGCCCGAACATTGTTTATCATGGAGCTGTCAGCCTCACTTTGATCAGGGTGGAAAAGGCTCCAAAGTCAACCCCAACCTGTCTGTCTTCGCATTCCTCGTATGATGGATGCCAGGTGCATGCTGATGCGGGAAACGAAGGCTCATTCGTGACTGTGACGCTGCCAAGCGACGAGCTTGGGGAGGCTCCCACCCTTGCCGTTGGATGACCCACTTTTCCGAGCGCAATCCTCCAGTTCCAGCCAGGCCGTGGTGTGGAATCCACTGAACTAGAACAGAGACGACCGAAGGCGCAGGCAGGCAGGCAGCATGTACGCAAACATGTGCTCCGTGAATTGACGAATGTATTGCTTTTGAAGCCAGCACCCAGTCCTCAGAGCGCTTGGGTAGCAAATGCTAGCTCTTGTCAAGTTTGCCAATGCCGTTCCCTTTGTCGCTTGCCAAAACGAAGCAATAGCAATACGCA